AGTAGAACCACAGGAGGATCATAGTAGAACCCCAGGACGGATCATAGTGGAACAACAGGAGGATCATAGTAGAACCTCAGGAGGTTCATAGTAGAACCTCAGGAGGATTATAGTAGAACCACAGGAGGAACATAGTAGAACCACAGGAGGATCATAGTAGAACCACAGGAGGATCATAGTAGAACCTCAGGAGGAACATAGTAGAACCACAGGAGGATCATAGTAGAACCACAGGAGGATCATAGTGGAACCACAGGAGGATCATAGTAGAACCTCAGGAGGATCATAGTAGAACCACAGGAGGATCATAGTAGAACCACAGGAGGATCATGGTGGAACCACAGGAGGATCATAGTAGAACCACAGGAGGATCATAGTAGAACCACGGGAGGATCATGGTGGAACCACAGGAGGATCATAGTAGAACCTCAGGAGGATCACCTTGAGTGAAGTTTAGGTCTCCTCCTCCATCTGTGGTTCCTGCTGCAAAGCTGTGACCCAGAGCAGGTTTACAGGTACTCACCTGATGCACATAGATAACTGTGTTAAACTCAATCTGTTAAAGCGAGTTAACATTTAAACTGTTAATGCGTTTGCGTATGTGTGTGACCCTTCCAATCAGCCACACCATGATTAAGCAAGACCGTATGGAGACGTCAATGATGGTACAGTTCAAAGGTGTTGTTGGCGAACCTTTAAACTGTAACATTGACGATAAAGTACTGCTTCGAGTACCTTATTGCTTTTTTATAATACAGGTAGATGAAGCCAGTGAGCTAAAAACTGGAATAACAAATAACGTTTGTGCATAATCCGAATGTTGTTTGAGTGCGCAATGCTATGGAACGGTCAGTGTAAACAGATGTACAGTGCATTATAGCTCAATACAGTACACCCTGTGACCCACTCTCAACCAATCAAAATGCTTGATTTCATCCCCCGTAGTATAACACAAAATGAGTGACTCGCTCTATAAAATGTGTTTTTGTGAATGGAAACTGGTGATTGGTGTCGAGAGGAGCTTCGGTGGAGGACGGTGTCACGGCCGCTGACCGTATGTGTGTCGTTGATCTGAACAGTGACGTCCGTCATGTTCACCCACTGATGGGCCGCCTGCAGGGAGCCGACGACCTCCTCCCCCGCCATGGCGTACAGCTCCTACACACATACGCACACTCTGTCAGGCGGAAAGAACCACAAACCAGGTCCTGACCTGGAGATATCGAGGGTTCCTTGTGGGGACCCAAGTTCTGGTCCACGTAAGGAACGCGGGTTCCCACAAGGCACTTTGGGGAAATATTGGTGTCCCCACTATGTGGCTAATACAAGAAGAAACTATGGCACACATTCATAACCATTGAACTAAATAGAAACAGACAGACAGACAGACAGGCAGACAGACAGGCAGACAGGCAGACAGACAGGCAGGCAGGCAGACAGGCAGACAGGCAGACAGACAGACAGACGGACAGGCAGACAGGCAGGCAGGCAGACAGACAGGCAGACAGGCAGGCAGACAGACAGGCAGACAGGCAGACAGACAGGCAGACAGGCAGACAGACAGACAGGCAGACAGACAGGCAAACAGACAGACAGACAGGCAGACAGACAGGCAAACAGACAGACAAACAGACAGACAGACAGACAGACAGACAGACAGACAGACAGGCAGACAGACAGACAAACAGACAGACAGACAGACAGACAGACAGACAGACAGACAGACAGACAGACAGACAGACAGGCAGACAGACAGACAGTACCTTGGCCTTCCTGTAGACGCTGTGTCCAATGATCCTCGTGCTGTCAAACATGTCGTCTCCAGGTCCGAACGCCTTACACATCTTAGTCTGAAGAACACACGCTTGATGTGTGTGTGTGCGTGCGTATGGGTGTTTGCATCTGTGTGTGTGTGTGTGTGTGTGTGTGTGCTTACCCCTCCTATTGGACAGGAGCTGTTCAGGTAGTCACATGGCAGTCCAGTGTTCATGCATCGAGGTCCTCTAGTGTTCGGACTGACGTCTCCGAGGTTACTGGAGGAGAAGCCAGCGACAAAGCCGCCCTGAGGTACACACACAAACTTCCAGTTGCAGACTTTCACAATAAGACTTTCTGAGGCGTTTGGTGTGTTGTGTCACCTGTCCAGGTAGCTGTCCCCGGTTCTTTTCCTGCTCCATCAGGTAGGAGGCGTAGCCCATGTTGTCACTGCTCACCATGCGGTTGGTGTAGTTCATGCTGACGGCGTGGACGGCGAACCAGCTGCAGGCGAGGAGATGATGTTACGTTATTCACTCTGACTCCATTCCTGAGATACTGTTTTTACTGTAATTATATATTACATTCTGATTTTTTAATCATAATTTATTTTGTAATTGTATTATGATTATGACTTATTGTTTATTATTATAATTATTCATGATTGTATTATTATTGTATATTATATTAGTATTGATTGGTATTAATCAGTGTTATCATTCATTATTTTTATTACTATGATATAGTTATTATTACTATTCATTATTATTATGTATGTGATTATTACTTCATATGTATTTATATATACATTATTATTCATTTAATTTTGTTTAATTAAAAAAAAAGATGAAATATTATTGTAATTATTATTCATGATTATCATGAGCCATATTTATTCTTTTACGATGTTCATTACCTGAGCATACCGATCCCGTCTCCGTCTAGATCCGTGAACTTTAGCACCAGAACCTGTTTATCTGTGTTCCACTGATACCTAAAAGATCCAAAACGTACAGGAATATGTGTTATGTGTAATATGAGTAGAATATGTACTACTATATGTCCGCTGCGCTCTGTGAAATACAAATATACATAAATATATATATATACTTATATATATAATATAATTGACAATTTGCATTCTATGCATATCTATGCATAATTAATGATAAAATGGTAGTTTTAAATAATACGGTTTAAATAATAGTAATGAACTATTCTGTCAACAAAGATCTAAGCAACATGATCTCATGACAGGACGAATACAAGTCTAAACTAAAGTGGGCCAGAGAATATATGACACATATGATGTGTTTTAGGCAGTGTCCTTAAAGGAGTCGGCCATGAGGTCGGTGTCCTTATGAACCTGTGGACGTGTTGTCTCACAGTACTTCTCTCTCTCTGAGTACCTGTCTGTCCATCCTTCTTGTACCTGTCTCTCTCCTCCTTAGGGTTGTTGAGGTACGAGTGAGGGCTCCTGTTCAGGCTGCTGTGTTCCAGCGCTCCTCTGCTCCTGTAAATCCTGCCTGGCTTCACGTTACGGTGGGCTATGTCTATACTCTGGAAACAAGGTCATGGTATCATATGTACAGTACTGCTTCATGATATATTTGGCTATTTCTATTCTCTGGAAAATATTTAAATGATCAATCCACCGTATTACCGTACGATGGGCCGTGTCTACTCTCTGAAGAGGTCTATGTTGTATTTTCATGTCTACATTCTATAAAACAATGTTTAGCTTAACAACACATGTTCACACATGGGCCCTGTCTATTCTCTGGAACCAACCTCTGATCAGTAACACACACACCTTGACGATGCCGTTGACCAGCGGCTTGATGGACGCCTTCATGAAGCCTTTACTGGTGACCATGAACAGGGTGTACTGGAAGTACCCGGCTGGGCCGCAGTGAGTGTGAGTCCCACTCAGGACCAGGTTCTCCTGGCGGTACAGGTCCCCATATTTCACCTGCAGCGCCCGCAGAACCTTCACACACACACACGCTCAAACATGTAAAGCACTTTGTTGGGTTGTTGTTGGGTTAATAAAGTTTATCGTTATTATTTATGCGTGTTTACCTCCAGGCGAAGCCTCTGCGATATCATTCCTACGTCCGCAGTGACGAACACGACCCTCCGCCTGCCGTCATCGATGATGAAGGCTCGGCTGTACAGGCGAGTGTGGATGCCTGCGGCCGTCTGCTCAGGGTTCGCATAACCCATCTAAAGAAACACACGCACAACATTTGAGTATGCAAGGCGTCACTGACCGTGACCACATGCATAACCCTCCAGCCTGTTCTGGGTCCACCATGAGACGTTCCACCAGTTCCCCATCCAAAACCACCCTCCCTCAGGTAGGCGAGTATGGAGCAGGCCGTGTTCCTGAAAGGGTTCCCACAGGTTTTGTGTTTTCCGATACGGTTCAGTTAATTTAGTTATGTTCAGACACGTCCAGGTGGAACTCAGACTACAGCAGAAGAGCCATACAAACACGCCTAGTCCTACAGGAACCCGGGAAGACTTTGGAGTTTGATCACTGGAGATTAAACGGATATCTGTGGGTTGTTATTGTCTCTACATGGACACATGGAGGTCGCTGTTGTCTCCTCGTGCGTGTTCTGGTACTGACCAAAGGGATTTCAGCCGGTGGCCCGGTGCAGTCAGCTCGGCCCACTCCGATGAGGTAAGGGTTGTCCTGTGGACTGGGAGGATCTGACAGGACAGAGGACAGAGAAGGGAGCTCGTTCTAAAGGACAATAACGCTTCTTTTTAAGCTCTTAATACAAATGATTGTTCTTCACATCCTTGCTCATTATTTTCCAAATAATCATCAGTTTGTCGCTTCATTTCCTTTAATTTAAAATTTATGAAGATCTAATGTAAAACCTGCTGAAATATATTCCAGCACCTCACCTGTAGGCGTCTTCCAGGTAGCCATCAGAGAGATGAGTGTCACATTCACCAGCACCGCAACGACGAACAGGACCGCCAGCGTCGCCTCACAGGCAGAAACCCGACGACAGCGAGGCGGAGAGGCCATGCTGCCGGCGCCGGAGGAACAGCTGGAAATCCGTTCCCACTGAGCTACAGAAAGACGCTTTACTCAGAGGAAACAGGTTCAGACGTCAAATGAATCAGAATGTGTGAGAACGAGCCGATGGAACTTCCCTTCAGTGTAAGTGTCCAACACAAAGTGTGTTTGGCGTTGCAGCAGATTAGCCGTTATCTATCAGATAAACGGTCTACAGGTCCTCTCCTCTCGCTCCAAAGGTCACCTGAGCCTCTTTATAGATTATGGATCATAACTACGGATCAGAAGGGTTGTATAACACATATTCAATTATGACATAACTATCACATTATTTAGTTATGTTAGATGTTTGAGGGTCATGTTTCTTGAAATGATCCCTCGAAGACTTCTGACATCACCTCACTGTTAGTTGATTGTACTGACAGGACCCACACGTACGGAGGGTCTATGGGGGGATCCTCTGCTGGTTTGTCTTTGTCTGATCATGTGACTCCAATGTATCCATCCATCCTTCTCCAAACCGCTCATCCTGCACACAGAGTCGGGGGGCTGGAGTCCATCACAGCAGACTTCAGGTGATCGACAGGGTTCATCCTGGACGGGTCACCAGCCAATCACAGGGCTACACAGAGACACACCACCACTCACACACCTACAGGCGCTTCAGAGTCCCCAACCAACCTGATCCCCAGAGCAGGTCTCTGGACTGTGGGGGGAAGCCGGAGAACCCGGAGAGAACCACGCAGACACGGGGAGAACATGCAGACTCACACAGAAAGGCCACTGGGCGGGACTCCAATTTGTGAACAACACTAATATTTGGTGTAAGAACCCTGTTGATCCTCATCAGGTCTATTAATGGAATGTGTCCAACACGTTAGGACGAATATACGCGTTCTGCTTCTACAATGTTATTGATACTAATCAGGCCTCTACTCATATAATAACTCGCCAACCGTTAGATACTAGATACAAGCTATTGTTGCGTTGCCATGACCGGTCTGTGGATGTTTGGACTACTACTACTAATACTGCTACTACCACTACTAATACTACTACTAATACTGCTACTACCACTACTAATACTACTACTAATACTGCTACTACTACTGCTGCTGCTACTACTGCTACTACTACTACTGCTTCTACTACTACTAATACTGCTACTACTACTACTACTACTGCTACTACTGCTACTGCTACTACTACTACTGCTACTACTGCTACTGCTTCTACTACTACTAATACTGCTACTACCACTACTAATACTACTACTGCTACTACTACTGCTGCTACTACTGCTACTACTGCTACTGCTTCTACTACTGCTAATACTGCTACTACTACTACTGCTGCTACTACTGCTACTACTACTACTACTGCTACTACTACTGCTGCTACTACTGCTACTACTACTACTACTACTGCTACTGCTACTGCTGCTACTACTGCTACTACTGCTACTGCTTCTACTACTGCTAATACTGCTACTACTACTACTACTACTGCTACTACTGCTACTGCTACTACTACTACTGCTACTACTGCTACTGCTTCTACTACTACTAATACTGCTACTACCACTACTAATACTACTACTGCTACTACTAATACTACTGCTGCTACTACTACTACTACTACTGCTGCTGCTACTACTACTGCTGCTGCTGCCGCTGCCGCCGCCGCCGCCACCGCTGCTGCTACTACTACTACTACTATTACTTGTCATACAAGGTTCTTCTCACAAGAAGATACTCAGGAGGAATAAAGGACTCTGATTCAGGGTTGAGTCTTGAGTGACAGGTGTATGTTTCTTATAATGAGAGAACATGTTATTAGTTTATGACAGTTGGTATTTTAATCGTGGCGCTTGGTTTACATGGTGGGGACCTCATCAGTGTGTCCACATAACAGTGTGTCCACATAACAGTGTGTCCACATAACAGTGTGTCCATATAACAGTGTGTCCACATAACAGTGTGTCCACATAACAGTGTGTCCACATAACAGTGTGTCCATATAACAGTGTGTCCACATAACAGTGTGTCCACATATCAGTGTGTCCATATATCAGTGTGTCCATATATCAGTGTGTCCACATATCAGTGTGTCCATATATCAGTGTGTCCACATATCAGTGTGTCCATATAACAGTGTGTCCATATATCAGTGTGTCCACATATCAGTGTGTCCATATATCAGTGTGTCCACATATCAGTGTGTCCATATATCAGTGTGTCCACATATCAGTGTGTCCATATAACAGTGTGTCCATATATCAGTGTGTCCACATATCAGTGTGTCCATATAACAGTGTGTCCATATAACAGTGTGTCCATATATCAGTGTGTCCACATATCAGTGTGTCCACATATCAGTGTGTCCATATATCAGTGTGTCCACATAACAGAGACGTCCCCACCACGCAGACCCATCTGACCACGGATCTTTCTACTTTACAACAAGTTTTGTTACCAGAGATTTTCAGTAAAATAACCGTTTTCTCTGCTCTGTGGTTAATAATTATTAATCGGTGTTAATGATTTAAATGAACCATGTTTTACTTGGAATACATTTTAAATGTGTGATTGTGCGATAATTTTAAACATTCATTTAGAAATGAATTAAATAATAACAAAAGTACTCTTTAAATTTCATTGATTTATAACATCAGTGATTTCAGACCGACAGCCAATCAAACGATCAGAATCAGAAGTATGGCGTTGGGTCGCTCTTGTCGCACATCTGGACGTGAACGTGCGAAGTGATTCCTCTGTAGACGCTCTGCATCGGCATCATGACGCCGATCCGCTCGCCCTTCAGCACCGACCCAGAGACTCGGTCCGGCTGGACGTAAAACAGCTTGAAACACAGACCTGCAGGAAACTCCTGTTAGAATAAAGGTACTAACACAGACGTGTCTAATAAATCGTCATGTGGAGAGACCACACAGCGGCTCCCAGTCGGACCTTCTCCTCTCAGGTTGATGCCGCTGTTGATGGCCGCCTTGTTGCGGTCGTTGTAGACGGTGACGCGTCCGTTGAGAGTCACGTCGAACGGAGCGTAGACAGTTGATCCGTCATTGCACTTGATGTCCAGACCTTTGTGCTCCCTGGTCCCCCTACAACATGCAGACCGCGTTAGACCCACAGAGACGCGGATTCATCCACTGGAGAGACGCCACGTGCACCACGGGGCGTCTCAATAGATGACAGTAGCTCAGAGACGGACACGTCCTCAAACAACACGCACCTCGGTAGTTGTGTGGTGTTGTGTTACCTTCTGGCTCCATAGTGTCCCTGTCCCCAGCTGTCGGACGTCCTCCTGCTGTTGGCAGTGTTTCCACTGCAGAGTTGACCAAACTTTACGCCGTCGCACACACACAGCACGGCTGCACACACACAGACACACAACACACACACTTGTTTTTGTCACATTGACTTAAACGGATGTGCAGGAACTTCTTCAGGAACCTGTGCGTGCTGACTGACACTTTACAAAGTGGGACCTCAATCAAGTGTCCCGTAGCGGACGTGTCCCCTCAATGTGTGTCAGACCTAAAATGTGCTCTTCTCACTCTGATTTTACCACTGAAGAACATTGAGAACATTGTGTTGATCACAGTGACGGAGATCTTTAAAACGCTTCCTATGAAGGTTAACGGATCAGATTCTCACCCAGCAAGACAATGACGCTCCTCATCTTCACGTCTGAACGCTTCGGTCCTGATGAAGAACTTCTTCCCTCCGGCTTTATAAAAGCTGCTGCTCCTCTTTGAACACAACGGGATTTTTATTATTTCACCACAAAAGAGGAGATGACGAAACAAAGCTCAGGTTGGTCCACGTTGTTGATGTTGACTGATGGCAAACATCAGCCTCTGACCCGTCACCTTTATTCCACCAAACCTCAGTTTCATCATCAGTGAAACTCCCATTTCTTTGTTTTACTGTCTTCTGTTTTAAAATAGTAATAAGAAACTAAACCTTCTCTAATTCTATAATCTTTGCCTTTTTTAACTTTGTTTAATGTAATATTTTACCTTTGTTATTGTTCTATTCCATTATTCATTTCTGAGCATTTTAAAATGTAGAACCACGTTAGATTAGACAATGAACCAACGCTTTTCTTACAGCGTGGATTTATGATTTATGTGTAAATCAACATCATTGCTTTACAACATTGTTTTATTAAATCTGTTTTTTATTTGAATCCCTGAGAGATAAAACGTCTTCTTCACTAATGTTTTAAGTACACAAACGTTGAGAAATCTACACAAAACAACGTTAAGAATGTTTGTCTGCGGCTTCTGGACGAATCTCCAACAACAGAACATTTGAAGTATTATTAAATATTAAATCAGGTTGCAGTTTAAACCTTTTCACACATCAGACTTGAGAGCCTATTATTCATTCTTATGAATGAAGTTGGAGGTGGTGTGATGTCATCAGAGGGTCAGCCCCTCGCTGACGGGCATGTTGATGTGTGCGGTCAGCAGCGGGGAGCTCCGCCCCTCGTGCAGGACGAACACCTTGATGATGTCAGAGATGCCCTTGTCGCTGGTGCACTCCACGAAGGTCTCCACGGGGTAGACGAGCCCGGGCACCAGCAGAGGGATCCTCATGTACGGGTTCCTCATGTGGTACAGGCCCTCGTCGTACAGGAAGCTGACGGCCAGGTTGACCGCGGGCCGACGCGCGCCCGTGTTCTGTATGTTGAGGGTGAGCTTGAAGGCCGGGCCCAGGCCCTGCACCACGGCGTTCATCTTGAGCGGCTCGCTGGAGGACATCGGCGTCAGGCTGCACTCCAGGGCCACCACGTAGGACTTGGCGGCGGCCAGGCGCAGGCGGCTCAGGTCCATCTGGAAGGCGCGGTGCATGGCCACGCCGCTCTCGCGCTCCCTCAGCGTCTGGTCCACGTACAGCTTGGTCTTCTTGGGCACGTTGAGGCGGACGCTCTGGGACGCCGGCGGCCCCGGGGCGCTCTCCCGTTCATCGAGGGCCGCGGTTCTCTTCAGGATCTTCACCATCAAACCCCCTCCCTTGGTGGTCAAGACCAGGGTCCCGTCCTCGCGTCCGTACCGCCCAAAGCAGATGCTGGTGACCACGTCGGGTGTCTTGATGGTGCTCAGCAGGTTCTTGTCTTGGTACAGGTGGACCTCGCAGTTGGCCAGGCCCACCAGAACCGCCTGGAAGCCCCTGGTGGGGAGGTCCATGGAGGCCAAAGTGGTGATGGGAGCCGTGAGGACGGCCTTCCACAGCTTCTTCCCCTGAGGACGCAACCAAAAACACAACGTGATCTTCGTGCCACATTCACAAGGAGACTGAACTCCTGCCCTCCATCATCTGACCTTCTGGGTGAAGCCCTGCAGGCTCTCGTCGGTGCAGCCCACCACCACGTTCTTCCCGACCCTCACCAGACCCACCGGGTGGGACGACAACTCAATGCTGTACTTGGGTTTGTCAAAGTCCCTGAACAGCGGGGTCACAAAGCAGACAGGTGAGTTCCCTCAGACAGCCGAGTCCTCTCAGACAGGTGTGTCTCACCTGCGCAAGATGTAAATGTTGCCGTTGCGACATGCTGCCGTGATGCGAAACTCCACATCGAACTGCCCAGTGACGTCCATCATGGTGGGAGCGGCCGGCAGCGACATCTTCAACAGAAAAGCTCTCTTACTTGTTGCTCTCACTGGCTTTCCTCTGCAGGACCACAGAGTTTTATTCAGTTGTCATGGAGACAGTTAAGGTTGTCATCAGGTCACCTGATGATTGAACCCAAGTCCACACGCCGAGGACAGCCAATGAGATGTCTGCGCTCTCATATCATAGTGAATTGACAAATACAGCCGGTGAACACATTCAAGTGGCTTTTATTATGAAATATTTCATATTTATATTGGAGATGGAATAGAAAAGGGCCCTCGTATTCATCCCTGGATGATAGAGGCACATACAATAACCCCCTGTCCTCCCAGTAGCACCAGTTCAGCTGCAGCCCCAGTGTGTGATGGGAGTTTACTTTGGAGAGGATGATGAAGGCCTCGGGGTCGAGGACGAAGACCTCGCTGCTCTCCGTCCCGATCACCAGGCAGCTGACGCCGTCCTCATCCGCCGTGCTCTTCTTCAGAGTCCCGATGCAGGTGATGACAGTCTGAAACACAGGCGACCAGTCAGAGCGGGGGGGGGGGGACTCTATTGCCCATGGTGCCAACGTCACAACGAGCTTTGTACCTGCCGTCTGATTGGCTGCTGCTTGTGCAGCTGGACGAACTCGTCCATGTCGCCCGCCTCCAGGGAGAGGAACCTGAGTGAGCGGACGGACAGCGGGACTTCGGCCGTCTTCCTGAGGCTCTCCAACATCTCCCTCAGGGTGAGGGGGTCAATCTGACCCTCCCTCACCTGCTGCCACACATCCTGACCAATCAGAGCACAGCGCGTCTCATTACACACTACCTTTGTGCTCCCAAGGTCTTAGTATGTAGCATTTTAAACCAGGAGCTCAGTAAAAGTTACTGAGATTTTCAACGTTGGACTGGACCGTCCTACAAAGAATACCTGCTTATCACATCACATCACGTGTCATTTATCTGACGCTTTTATACAAAGCGACTTACAATAAGAACATTTCAACCATAAGGACACAAACTCAGAAGAGCAAGAAACAAAGTGCAATTTCCTAAAATAAGCCAACTTGTTATAGATAAGAGGCGTCATCAGGCCTTCACATCTCAAGGCCTGGTGCCCCTCACTGAGAGCCAAACACTCGACTAGATCTCCACTCTTTGCTGTCCTGCTCCTAAATGGTGGAAGGAGGTCTGTGAAGACATCAGGACCACAGAGAGCCTTCACATCTTCAGACTAAAGACACACCTCTTCAGACTCTACCTCCACTAACACACTAACTAACTGCAGCACTTACATTGGACTTATAATGGTTCTTATCTACAGCAAGTTGTACATCGGCTTGTTTGTTCTTTTGAGTTTGTATCCTCGTGGTTTAAATGCACTTATTATAAGTTGTTTTTTTAGCGTCAGCTAAATGACATGTAATGTAAAGTAACTGACAGTAACTGTGTTTTAATCAGGGCGCCGCGGCTGATAGCAGACACCACCGGACGGAACCAGACCTGCTCCAGCGAGTTGACCTCTAAGCCCGGCAGCGTGAACTTGAAGTACGGCCGCAGATTTTTGTAGACGTATACGCAGGGCCCAGACGCCACGGCCACGGCGGGGATGCGGGGCTCGTGCAGGTCCATGAAGAAGGCCACCAGACCGGCAGGCAGGTCCAGCAGGGTGCTCTCGCTGGTCAGCGCCGTGCCACTGTAGACCTTCAGCTTCATGCCCGACGAGCCGGAGCCCAGGTCGCCCACCACCAGGCGGTTCTCGCCGTCACCGCTCAGGTCTGCCAGGTCCACGCAGGACGAGAAGGTATGGAGGCCAGCCACCGGGTCGTAGTGAGCGTCCAGCCATTTGCCCCCCCCGTCGGCGCGCGGCTCCACCGACGCCATGACGGCAGCAGCTGGAGGAGGAGAGCAGCGGATACAGGTGAGACCTGAAGAGAGACCAGGGTGAGGAAGGGAGACACGGTCATTCATTGCTTCACCTAAATGAATGGATTGGTATTATTGCAATAAAAAGTACAATATTTAGCTCTGAGGTGTAGAATGTACTGCAGTAAATGACAAGTACCTCTAGTAGTGTATACTTGAGTGAGGTACTTGGCTCTTGTCAGATAACAGTAGTGATGGGGAGTATCGACACTGATCAATAACGGGTCACGACGCTTTCTTACCGTTGTCAGGGAAACCAGTATGCTGCGTCTCCTCGCGGTGAATCCTGACTTTCTCGTCGGGGTTATTAGAAGTTAGAGCCGTGGAACGTGTTTTCCAATAAAAACAACAATGATAAATTACTAAAGTAGCAGCTAAATTAGCTGCTAATCCAACAAATCCGCTTGAAATCCTCTTCGGTTCTCGTCCAGTTCGGTCGCTTGCTGATGACGTCGTTCTGAACCGACGGTGTTTACTGCTTCTGTTTCCATGTGAACAGCTTTGTGACGCATTGCCGCCACGAGCTGTCACTCCGTTATATTAAAAACACTACCATGTTTTTTTAATTACTCTGTCACAGTGAAGGTTTTAATTCCACAATGTTACAAAACTTGTATTAAATGCTTTTCATTGTCCACATAGTCTCGCGATACCCTGTCCGAAACCTGCGTGACGTATCATTATGCAGCTACCTGATTGGTCCTACGGTCTCCGTTTAAAAACTATACCGCGTAAGTTAGATGAGGAGAGGTTTCCGTGGCTATTGTTAGCGGGGGGTTCTAATAAAACTCATCCGGAGAGAGTAGCACTGTAGTGAAGGAGAAAGTTGAGTCTTCCTGCTGTCAATTACCGAGAGGTCTCGTCCCCAAAGGACGTTGAAACCCGACAAACAGACGCCAGTACGTGTGTGAGTTAGCTAGTGGTGGCTAATGCTAACAACAGAGCAACAGTAGCTAACTGCTGTTTAGTTGTTATGAGATCTTTTCTGACTCTTTGAGGCCTCGTTGTCAGACATCACGACAGAATCCATTTAAATATTAAGCCATTTAAGATATTTGTGTTAATGCTCCACTAAATTAGAGAGATCACTTTGGAAATAATCCGCATCTCACGTCCTTTCGCAGCGGGCTGATGTCAACATTGAACACTGACCGGATTTACATGTTGTGTTGTGCAGAAATGATGGAGTCTTGTTTCGGGGGGAAACCGGACAGAGTCGGTCCGGTTGTGGTGGACGATATCAAGAGAGACCTGCTGCGGGAGTTCACTGCTTTACCTCAACAGGTAACTGTCTCTGTCTCTCTGTCTCCTACAGTCTCTGTCTGCAGTGGTGTAAGAAGTACTCCGGTCTTACTTATATAATGTCTTATAATTATAATGTCTTTATGTAGTGCTGGTAGTTTCATTCCAAGTAATAATTGCTTATTTATTTGTTGTTTTTTAAGAGACCAAAGTTTCAGATTTAGTGCAGCAAAGAGTAGAATATTACCTCTGTGGCCAAGAAGCAGGAAATACTCGTTCGTACCAGTGCTTTGTTACTGTCACTGCTGGTGTCAGCGGGATGTTGTTGTCACGGTGACAGACGATGTTGTTTTGTGTCATCAGGACGCCGTTCAGTCTGAGAACCTGCAGGTTTACCTGCGTGTTCGACCGTTCACTGCAGCCGAGAGCGACAAGAAGGAGGCACAGGTGGGACACACACACATGCCTGATGATTGATCGTTAGTATCCATATCGATTGATAATGGGGCTCTGCTCTGCAGGACTGTGTGACCATCGAGGGACCGGACACTGTTGTCCTGACGGCTCCCCGGAGTGGTCAATCAAACCGGCAGAGCGACAAGTCCCTCCCACAAACCGCGCAGAGGTTCACCTTCACACAGGTAGCTGTGGCGTCACCTGTCTGTCACAGGGTTGTTTGTGTTTACTCATTGGACCGTTGGATGTTTCGATCAGGTGTTCGATCCCGAGTCCAGCCAGAAGAAGGTCTTCGACGGGTCAGTTCGGGATTTGGTCCGTGACGTTCTGACCGGAGGAAACTGTCTTGTGTTCACCTACGGAGTCACCAACGCTGGGAAGACCTTCACCTTCCTGGGTCAGAGACAGTGTCTGCCTGTCTGTCTGTCTGTCCGCTCCACATAGTACTGTGACCCTTTTAATCAGTGATGCAGAGGAAGCCGGTCCTTCTCTGTCTTCTGTGTAAAACACGTCTAAAATGAACTCTGTCTGATTCCAAACATCTCTGTAAACATTACTGTTTGATCTATTTTCATCTGCCTGTCTGTCTGTGCCTCAGGCCCGGACCATGACTCAGGTCTGTTGCCCCGGGCTCTGTCCGTGATCTTTAACAGCATCGAGGGCCGTCTGTACGGTCGGTCCGATCTGAAGCCGCAGCGCTGCAGAGACGTCAGCAGACTGACTCCAGACCAGCAGGCAGCTGAGAGCAGCAGCAAGAGAAACCTGCTGAGGCTGCTCAAGGAGGTGAGGATGTACATGTACACACGTCTGTGTACTACTATGTGTACCAGTTTGTGTACTGAGTTGTGTCCTGCTGGGTCTCGTTGTCTGCAGAGCGACAGAAGTCAGACGTCGGGCAGATCGACCTTCCTGGACGGTCAGCCAGAGGATTTATCACAAGATTTTCGTTGTGTTTTTTAGTCCCACAAAAGTCGCGTGGACCCCACGTCTGCCGTAAACGAGGACGTGTGTGTGTTTCCAGGCTCCTCCCTCAGCACTGACAGCGGCGTCTCCGAGGCCGACAGCTTCTCATTGGACGTTGAGTCAAACGTCCGCTTCTCCGTCTGGGTTTCCTTCTGTGAGATTTACAACGACAACATCCACGACCTGCTGGAGCAGGTGACTCTGCTACACACACACACACACACACACACAGAGTTTGCGTTAAATAGGAGGTGAGGACCAGACAAAAGAAGAAAAGGTCTCACTGAAGTATTCATAGTCCAATCGAAGCAGCTGTGATCATTTACGGAGCATTGATCTGTGGTGCTCAGGTTCCCGGTGGTCACCTCAGGAGGACGGTTCTGCGTCTGTCTCAGGACGTCAAAGGAAACTCCTTCATCAAAGGTAAAATAGATTTTACCAACAACTCTTGCTTGCTATTGATGTCTCAGTCAGTTTGTGTATCATCACTATTCTTTGTTGCGTTCTAAAACCAGAAGATCAACGAACTATATATATTTGTAAACTCTTCTTCATGAACGTCTTTATTACCTCCATACAAGAACTATAAAGAAACAAATCCAGTTCAGCGTTTCCCCCTGGGGTACAACTTCAGGGGAGTAGAAGTAGTCGGGCGACCGGTTCGGTTGACGGGGGGGGGGGGGGTTAGGGGGGGTAGTGGTTTGTGTGCTAGTGCGAGCGCCACATGCGCGCAAACACGTACATATTCGCGCACGTGTTGGTGTGAAACTGCTGCGTAGGAGGAGAAAAAAAAGTAAAAATGTCCAGACTTTAAAGGGCGGCGCTGTAATCACACACTGCTGTAGTGTGTAATTGTAGTGTAGTGTGTAATCACACACTGCTGTAGTGTGTAATTGTAGTGTAGTGTGTAATCACACACTGCTGTAGTGTGTAATTGTAGTGTAGTGTGTAATTACACACTGCCAGGTGACAGCAGTGTCATCAGTCTGCAGATATTTCACAATAAAAGCCTCATTGTTGTTTTTGTGCAGTTGCCTTAGCGATGGTTCTAACAAGCAAACTTCTGTTCAAACTGAACAGACTTACAGTGAGACGTGTGTGTGTGTGTGTGCGTGTGCGTGTGCGTGTACGTGTACAGACCTGCGCTGGGTCCAGGTGAGCAGCTCCGACGAAGCCTACAGAGTGATGAAGATCGGGAAGAAGAACCAGAGCTTCTCCTCCACCCGACTGAACCATCTGTCCAGCAGGAGGTCAGCTGATCTGAGATCAGATACTTTCGCTTCTTACGTCTCAGATCAGTTATCAAACCACCGACGTCCGGTACTGTGTATCTCCTCCTGTCATGTGATGGAGGATCTGAAGGGTTCACTGTGATCAGACGCACAAACACTGGCCCGGGTTCCTAAGATAAGTTCTCCGTGCGTCCCTGCAGCCACAGCATCTTCTCCATCAGGATCCTCCGGGTGGACGACGCCGGCGTTCCCAGAGTCCTCGGCATCAGCGAGTAAGGCGGCGGCCCTATAAGCGACAAGCTTGCGTGGATGACATCATCAGTATTAGTAATACTAAGAATGCAATGTCCCTGTGAGGTTGTCCCTGTGTGACCTGGCCGGGTCGGAGCGCTGCTCCCGCACGCACAACACCGGGGAGCGCCTGAAGGAGGCGGGAAACATCAACAACTCGCTGCTGACGCTCGGGAAGTGCATCAGCGCCATGAGGCTCAACCAGCACACCAAGTAGGGCCAGCACGCTGTGGGGGGGCGGGGTCACGCTGTGGGGGGGTGGACTGACCCTGTGATTCTAACTCCACAGGGTCCAGCACCACGTCCCCTTCAGGGAGTCTAAGCTCACCCACTTCCTGCAGTTCTTCTTCTGTGGTGGTGGCCGGGTGTCAATGGTGGTCAACATTAACAAGAACTCTGCCTGCTTCGACGAGACGCTCAACGTCCTGAAGTTCTCCGCCCTGGCCCAGAAGGTCAGAGACACACACACACACACACAGGTCTTTACTTCAGTGTGTCTTTGTCCCTCCTGGATGAAGATGGCCGCCCTCCTCTGCCTGTCCAGGTGGTGGTGTTGAACTCAAGGCCGGTTGTCCCGGACCATGTCCCCCACAACTCAGCCATGGAGCTGTCTCTGATCATCGAGGACGCCGAACACCGCAGGAAGGTGTCTGGGCGGGGCAGGAAGAGCTCGCTGGTTGCCTGGGAGACGACCCTGGAGGATGTGCTGGAGGATGGGGAGGAGGGGGAAGAAGATGAGGAAGATGAGGAGAGTGTGATGGAAGGGACGGTGCTGGATGCAGGAGGCGAGGAAGACGAGGGGGAGGAAGGTGACACGACCATGGAAGTTGAAGACAAGGTAACGATTTCATTTGAACGAAGTTGTTGTCTTAAAGAAGTGAAGAAAGCATGAGCTCTCTGTCTGTCTGTCTGTCTGTCTGTCTGTCTGTCTGTCTGTCTGTCTGTCTGTCAGCACGGGGACGCGGCTCTGCGCTTGGTCCTGGAAGCTCAGATCAGAGAGGAAGTCAGCGCTGAGTTCATGGAGCTCTACAGCAAGATGGAGAAAGACTACAGGTAACAAGGTCATGTGACTGAACCACAGTGCCTCACCTGATTGTGATCTCACACGTGTGTGTGTGTGTGTGTGTGTGTGTCAGTGAGCGCCTGGAGAAGGAGCGGGAGATCCTCGAGGAGCGAGCTGAGAAGAGAGTGGAGATCCTGAAGAACCTTGTCAATAAGACGGCAGACCTGAAGACCGCCAACAGCAAGGTGATCAATAACACCTGTCTATCTCACCACGGATCATTATTGAGTATCACTGATCAATAACTATTGATTGGCTGTCAGGAGGCCGATCTGTTGGAGATCTTCAGCTCGGTTACTGAAGACCTGGAGAAGATCAGAGAAGATGCTCAGAGTGTTCACCTCTGTCTGACTGAGCACGCACACAATGAAGGTACACACACAAACACTGCGGGGCGTCTAGGTGAGTGGAGTGTGTGTGTGTGTGTGTGTGTGTGTGTGTGTTACTGATGGCAGGTGGCTCTGTGTGAACGGGTGAATGATGAAATGAAGTGGTGAAGCGCTTCAAATGGAGTCCACATGGTACACGTTACATTATATGACATTACGTGTCATTTAGCTGACGCTTTTATCCAAAGCGATAAAGTAAAGAGAAAAAGCTCCATTTGGGTGAAATGAGTAAACCTGTGCCAGTGCATCGGTTTGTGGCTGAAGGAGAAGGTGGAGCAGAGAGCGGCTGGGTGGATGTGTCCTCAGGTGTGATCCAGGTCTCAGTGAGAGGAAGTCAATAAGACACACTGCAGGCACACACACACACACGCTGCAGGCACACACACACACACACTGCAGGCACACACACACACTGCAGGCACACACACACACGCTGCAGGCACACACACACGCTGCAGGCACACACACACACACGCTGCAGGCACACACACACGCTGCAGGCACACACACACACGCTGCAGGCACACACACACACACACACGCTGCAGGCACACACACACACGCTGCAGGCACACACACACACACGCTGCAGGCACACACACACACGCTGCAGGCACACACACACACACGCTGCAGGCACACACACACACGCTGCAGGCACACACACACACGCTGCAGGCGCACACACACACACGCTGCAGGCAGGCACACACACGCTGCAGGCGCACACACACACACGCTGCAGGCACACACACACGCTGCAGGCACACACACACACTGGATGGGTTCTTGGAGCTAAGTTGACCTTTGACCTTTGTGCTGATCTGGACCTGCAGAACTGGAAGCGCTGCGGTTGGAGAAGCAGCGGTCACATGACCAGCTGCTGGAGGCCAAAGAGGTAGCTTCTTCTTCTGTGGTGTGACTGCGTTTTGGTGCATCTGCGATGCCATTGTTCATAATGTCTTCTGTCAATAAAGTTATTTTGTTTTTCCAGATCCTGAAGCAGCACCAGCTGCACTTATCAGAACTGATGGAGATAAATCAGCAGAAAGACGACATCATCGAAAGACTGAGGACGGAGAACCTAGAGAACCCCCACGTAGACAAACCCCTCTTAATGTCACAGACAATGATGAGAATACTTTATATTAGTGATATTGATTATTATTATTATTACTACTTTGTGTGAATATTGATAGTGACGTAATGATAATCCCACAGATGGAGCTTCAGCAGACATGCAGCTGTCTGAGGAGGACCACAGGAGAGGAGGTGACAGAGGAGAACACGAAGCGTCAGTGTGGAGCTCTGGTGGAGGAAGAGGAGAGAGGACCAGCAAAGAAGAGAGGTGAGAGGGAGGAGGGGGAGAAGGAGGTTCACACCGTCAAACCTAAATGCTTCTCCTCTGTCTCCTCAGTGCTGGAGGATGAGATCTGGAGGCTGCAGGAGGACAACGACCAGAAGGACGAAACCATCAAGGAGCTGAGGAGACGGGAGGACGAGCTGAAAGGACTGGAGGACGAGCTGAGAGGGAGGGACAAGGAGCTGAGGAGACGGGAGGACGAGTTGAGAGGGAGGGACAAGGAGCTGAGAAGACAAGAGGAGGAGGGGGAGGTGCTGAAGAAGGAGCAGGCTGCCCTGGAGCTGACCGGTAGGAGCTGGACCCAGTGCATAAATGGATCAATGATGCCATGAAGACCTTAGAGCGTGACTCATTGTCCCGTCCCGTCCCCCCCCCCAATAGATCTGGAGGAGTGTCCCCACTGTGCGTCTGTGTTGTCGTCCCTGGAGGCGAAGCAGAGGGAAGCTTCCAGACTGGTGAAGGAGAACAAAGCTCTGGTTAACGGGATCTTCCAGCTCCAGATGGAGGTACAACTCCACCCTCTTGGTCAAAGGTTATTTTGTGTATATATATATATCTATATATATATAGATATATATATATATATATATATATATGTATCTATCAGGACATTGAGCGTATCAATAGTAATAAATATCTAAATCTAACTAAGTACTTATTAAAAGCATATTTATTATTGTTATTGTTATTATTATTATTAACTGTCTTTCCTCAGGTGACCCGTCTCCAGACGGAGCTCAAGGAAAAGACTGACAGGTCTGACAGCCCATCACAGCCACTGAATATTGAGAAGACCCGCCTCCCAGACATGCAGAGCCAATCGGAGGAAAAGACGCAGGTGGAGTGTCTGAAGCAGGAGGTTAATGTTCCTCCTTTTTCTTTGGTTTCTCTGCTGATCGATTGATTTTGGAGGTTCTGATTGATCAGTGTCAATTGATCAACTGATTGTTTCAGGAGGAGCCGGGGCAGAGCAGCAGCAGGGTCTTCCACGCCGCCATGGAGAAGCTGAAGAAGGAGAGCCAGGCAGCGCTGGAAAGGTCTTCTCAGCAATCACTACAGATCCAGGATCTGCTGAGAGAGAAGAGCCAACTGGAGGAATCCCTGATGAACAGGTAGAGGAGGAGTCACATGGGCTCATCGAGAAGGTTTCTCAAGTATCTAATCCCCTCGTCCTGCAGTGAAAACAGGCTCCTTAAACTCAATGAGGAGTCCGCCAATCAGACGGCAGAATTCACGAGTCGTCTCCGCAGCCTGAAGGAGGAGCTTGAGTCTGAAGGCGGAGCTCTGCGACGTAAACTGGAGGAACGGAGGAGGAGTCAGGAGAGGGAGAAGGAAGGTGAGAGGATGAAATAAACCTTGTTAAGAGAAGAACCTTATTCATGACCTCATCCCTTCATGGGACATCCGTCTCTCAGAGCTGCTCCGGGTCCTGTCCGAAAAGGAGAAACTCATAGAAGAATGTCGTGGACAGACAGAGACTCTGAGAAAAGGTATCTCCATCGTCTCCATCACCTCCATCTCCTTCAGTACCTCCATCACCTGGAGCAATGGAGAACTTTGCATTGATCTGATCGGGAGATCTCAACCTTCTTGTGTTCTTCAGAGCTGGTGCGTCTGAGTGAAGACCTGCGGAGGAGGGAGGAGAACAGAGAGGTGGAGGTGCCGGTGGTGGAGGAGCTGAAGGAGGCGATCCAAAGACTGCAGGAGGAGGAAGAGGAGGAGGAGGAGGAGGAGGGAAGCAGCAGGACGTTTGAGGCTGTGAGGAGGGAGGTGGACAGACTGCAGAGAGGGAAGGAGGAGGGAGACCCACAGGTGAGACATCTCACTTCTCCTCACTTGTCTCTCAGGAGGAGAGATTACTAAGCTGACGTCTCGAATGTGTGTGTCTGTGTGTAGAGGCGTGGCGTTCGAGTCCCTCTTTCAGAGCGGGACGTCCAGGTGTCTCCTCTGCGATCCAACAAGGCCGACGGGAAAACAACTCCAGGGAGGAAGAGGAAGAGCTGTGAGGTGCAGGTGTGTGTCTGTGTGTGTGTGTGTGTGTGTGTCTGTGTGTCTGTCACTGATTTTAGATATTTTCTAAATGTGTGTGTGTGTGTGTGTGTGTGTGTTTCAGGACTTGGTGTTCAGTGAGAACAAGAGGAACAAAGTGAGATGCTGTCGAAAAAACAAACCGGTGAGAAACAAAAGACAGCTGAAGAGAAAAGTGAGACCAGTCAAATGTTCTCTGTCCCTCACCCTGTCTCTATCTATCTGTCCCTCACCCTGTCTCTATCTGTCCCTCACCCTGTCTCTATCTATATGTCCCTCACCCTGTCTCTATCTATCTGTCCCTCACCCTGTCTCTATCTGTCCCTCACCCTGTCTCTATCTATATGTCCCTCACCCTGTCTCTATCTATCTGTCCCTCACCCTGTCTCTATCTGTCCCTCACCCTGTCTCTATCTATATGTCCCTCACCCTGTCTCTCCCTCCAGTCTTCTGCGCTGAAGGAGAAGAGCGACGGTGCTCTTCAGAAGATCGAGGAGTTGATCCACAGCTCTCCGTCCATCCTGGGCAGCAAAGGTCGGTGTGTTTTTTATGACTCAGTCAGTAAACAGTCAGACTGTAACAACAGCTCGTTTGTCTTTGTCCTCCTCTCTGCAGCTAAATCCATCATGGGCCTCGTCGGTGGACATTCAGTGGAGAAGGTGACTGGGGCAACCAGACCCAAACGAGGACGGAGAAAGCTTTATAAGACTGAGGACTCGTCTCTGCTGTCCGATTCCCCGAGCATGGTGTGTGTGTGTGTGTGTGTGTGTGTGTGTTTTACTGTCATTATTACATCTTTGTACAGTAAAATGCCGAGTTGTCTTTTTAATGTGTTGTGTTTCAGATGGCAGCAGGAGCAAAGGAGGAGAAGGAGAGCGATCACCTGATCATCAAGAGACAGCTGCGCTCCAATAAAAGCAGGAAGTGACTGTCATCCACTGACTGGTCATGTGACCACTGGTCTGCAACGATATCCGTCTTACCAAAGAGATTGGTTTTAAATATTTGTTTGTTTTTGTTTTTTACTGAGAGGAGGACAACGCCCCTTTTCCCCAAATAAATCACATCAAATCCAAACGCTCATTTGATGTTTCTCTACTTTTTTGATTTACTCAGCCACCAAATAGAAACTTTAATAGAACATTTATCATTTTTAAGTTTCACACATTTAATTCAAAACTGAGTGTAGTAAATAATATGCCCATTTTTAAAATGGTATACTTGAATGTTGTCCCTTCCATCATCAAACCGCTGATCCTTCATACAGGGCCGCAGGGGTCGATCCCAGCTAACCAAAAGCGAAGCAGATTCTCTGCACGCTTTCCTCGCCCGACTAGCTTCATTCGCTTCATCGGCGCCAGACAGGGGGCGTGGCTGATCTCTGTCGCTTGTCTCGGTAAAGACCGTTATCATTTCCGTTATCCACCATGGAAATAAACACTGTTTCTGCTCGGTACTTGTTGTGGAAATTACACAACGTCAGACACAAATGAACTTACAGGCGTTCGGTCTTTGTGCGTCTGTGTGTTTCATAAAGTGTGTTCACACGGAGCAATACAGCGTTGGGCAAATTTTTCGCCAGAAGTTGAAATATTTCAGCTTGTGAAAAAGCGGTTCATTCGTTTTGCTTTTTCACGTCCCCCACGTCGTGTCCTCTGCGCTGCCCGTTGAAAAATTCCGTCCTCTGCAACTATTCGTGTCTGTGCATTGACTTTGTATGGAATGAAAGTAGCGTATTTCTCTCAGTATTCTAAATACAGGACACATACATGGCAGCAAGTTATTTTAATTCATCGACAAACAACACAATCAAAACAATGCTTTAGAAAATGCCAATGCAGAATGCTAAAGTTGAGATAAGCTAATGAAGTGCTAAGCTAAAGTTTAGATAAGCTAATGAAGTGCTAAGCTAAAGTTGAGATAAGCTAATGAAGTGCTAAGCTAAAGTTGAGATAAGCCAATGAGGTCCTAAGCTAAAGTTGAGAAAAGCCAATGAGGTGCTAAGCTAAAGTTGAGATAAACTAATGAACTGCTAAGCTAAAGTTGAGATAAGCCAATGAGGTGCTAAGCTAAAGTTGAGAAAAGCCAATGAGGTGCTAAGCTAAAGTTGAGATAAACTAATGAACTGCTAAGCTAAAGTTGAGATAAGCCAATGAGGTGCTAAGCTAAAGTTGAGAAAAGCCAATGAGGTGCTAAGCTAAAGTTGAGATAAGCCAATGAAGTGCTAAGCTAAAGTTGAGATAAGCCAATGAGGTGCAAAAGTTAAGTTGAGATAAGCCAATGAGGTGCTAAGCTAAAGTTGAGATAAGTCAATGAGGTGCTAAGCTAAAGTTGAGATAAGTCAATGAGGTGCTAAGCTAAAGTTGAGATAAGTCAATGAGGTGCTAAGCTAAGTAGCAAATCTAACTGCCGGAGGAGCATTTTCTTGACCAGCTGTTAAACTGAAGTCTTTCAGCCTCCGGATGGTTGTGTCCTGGCGGAAGAATCCTGTTGAAGTAGACGCTTGATTGTTGATCTGTAAATATCATCTGGGGATCGATGACTGCCAGATTCTTTCACCACTTGCAGGTTGTGGTGTCACAAACTCATGTAACCTTTATTGTTCTCAACTGGATACGCAATTCAACATTGCCTCATTGGTGTTGCTTCGCTTCCCTGAGTGGAGGTGCCATGAAAACGTGTCTCACTAAATCGTCTCTTTTCTCTCTGGGGTCTGGTGCGTTGCTTCCAGAGCGGGTTTCTGTTACAATCTTCATGAGACCTGTTAGCGTCATGTGTTGTCTTGTTGTTGTAAGGACCTACTTCCGGTCCACGGCGGACTCTGAATGAGTTCAGGCAGCTGGCCAATCGCGGCCCTCGTACCGGTCTCCGCCCCCAACGAATCCGAGTGATTCGTCTGTGGCTCGACGGTCAGCCTCCAGCTGAGGCGATCCGATTGGTCGGACAGATGCAGGGGGCGGGGATAGCACTTGGCGGTGGGGCCATGCGGTCGGAGCCGGCAGCGGCGGATGCCGGTGATGGCGCTGAGGAGGACGGCGCTGGAAAGCAGCGAAGCACCACTGAGGAAGAACATGGCCGTGTAGCTTCCTGTGACGTCGACAAGCCAACCTGCAGCAAGAGAAGAAGAAGAGAAAGGATTTTTAAATTATTATTCATTATTCTCAGATCTGAGTGGAGGAGGGGCTTAGAGATGAAACCACGCCCGCTTTTGATCTATTGTATTATTTTACTATAATATTGTAGTTTATCCCATTATGATATCAGCAAACCAGGACCGATGATGAATAATTAGTCACAAACTGGTGTGATCTGTCCTCACCTCCGATGGGCGGGCTGATGAGGTAGGGGATGGCGTGGAGGAAGTAGACCACGCCCAGCGCCGAGGACAGGTAGGGAGCCCCCACCACATCCGACGTCACCACGGGGATCAGCGCCACGTAGGCGCCGTCGAAGTAACCGTAGAGGACGGCGAAGGGCACGAGGAGCGAGAAGGAGCGCAGCAACGGCGTGAAGAGACAGCAGAGCCCCTCCATCGCCACCGCCAGGACGTAGCAGGCCAGCCGGTAGGGCTTCAGGCAGCTGGGACACAAGATATATATACTGAAGGTACTTTATATACTTCATGTACTTTGTACTGTTTAGGACGCACAGCTATACATTATTGCAGGGGTCTTCAACGTTTGTCAGGCCAAGGACCCCCAAACTGAGCAGGGACCCCCTATTCTACGGAGTTTGGTTCGCCATCTTTTAGTTTTGAGCTTGGCGCTCTTTAGACGTGAGCATGAATGATCTGATTGGCTGGTCCTGTGATGTCGTATCAGCATGACAGGAGCAGTGAGTGAGTCCAGCTGCAGAGCTGCTGCAGGTCTGAACGTCTCCTCCATCAACGTATCCATCCGCTGCATTATTGTATGTTATCATGCTTAATACATGACAACTATGAACCCCCTAAGACGGAACTACTCTGAACTCCTACCTGCGGTCCGTCAACCAGCCGAAGGTGATGTTCCCCACGATGTCCAGGACCCCCAAGATGGACATGAGGAAGGTGGCCTGGTGGTGGCGGACCCCGGCACTCACAGCGTACGGCACCAGGTAGACAAAGGGGAGACTGCAGCCGCTGGCCAGGAACAGGAAGGACACGGCCAGGCCCAGGAAGTCCGGCAGCAGCAGGAAACGGTACTCCTTGACAGACAGGATGCACCACCTCCTCTCTGGTTTGGGGGCGGGGCTTCCTGACATCAGGGGCAGCGGCGGCTTAAGGCAGCCGTCTGATTCTTTGGGGAGTCTGATCGCGACCTCTGCGTCCTTTAAGGAGACGTGGCCTGCAGCGCGAGACAACAGGAGGTTCACAACAAACCCGACTCCTGGACACATGCGTCCAGAACGGGTCCTCACCGATTGTCTCCTTCCCTGACTCTGGCTCCTCCCCCTCGGGCTCCTTCTCCCCGGCCTCCTGCAGTCTGACTGGTCGGAGCAGCGCTCCACAGACGCACAGGTTCGCCACGAAGGCGCTGAGGACGAGCAGTGCTCCTCTCCACGAGTACTTCTCGATGAGCAGCTGCACCACCGGCGCCAGAACGAAGGTCCCGATCCCGCTGCCCGACATGGCGACCCCGTACGCCAGCGCCCTCCGGTGGTGGAAGTAACAGCCCACCATGGCGATGGCCGGGGTGTAACACAGGGCGAAGCCCAGACCTGGCGGGAGGACGACTCAAGATGAGGGCGGACATTGTTGGAAGGGGAATTTATTGTTGGAATATATTTTCTTGGAACAAGTAAAGTGAGAGTGAGGACACTTTGACACGTGAGTACACTACGAACATGAGGACACTCAGACCTGTCAGGACCCCCATGGTGAGGTAGAGGAGCTCCAAGCTGCTGGCGAAGGAGCTGAGGAGAAGTCCACAGGAGGACAGGAGTCCACCGAGCATCACGGCGACCCGGCACGACCACCGGTTCCCCACCAGGCTGCCAAGAGGAGCTACGTGCACACACACACACGCACACACACACACACAGTCCAGTCAGCTGTCCTCACCTGGACCCGTCCCCGTGTGTCGGTACTGACCGCAGAGCATGGTGGTGCAGTCCACCAGGCTGTGGATCCACGCAGTAGACGAGTAGTCAGCGCCAAAATGAGCCTGAAACTCCACAAAGAAGATGGAGATGCACCTGCAGACAGGAAGTGATGTCACCGACTGGTGTGAGATGTGTGTGTATACGCGAGCTGTGTAAGTTGTGTGTATGTGGTGCGTTTGTGCTTGTTGTGTGAGTTTTAGTGTGTGTTTGTTATGGTGTGTGTAATGCTGACGCGTTCTCTCTTATGTGACTGGGAGGCGGTCCTAACTGGTTCCACTGGGATCCAACTGGTGCACCAACATTGATTGACAGCTTATACCCAGAAGCTCCTTATAGAACCTTGGTTATTATTACATTATTATTACATCACATGTCATTTATCTGACGCTTTTATCCAAAGCGACTGACAATAAGAACATTTCAACCATAAGGACACAAACTCAGAAGAACAAGAAACAAGAAAGTGTGATTTCATCAAATAAGCCGATGTACAACTTGCTGTAGATAAGAACCATTATAAGTCCAATGTAAGTGCTGCAGTTAGTTAGTGTGTTAGTGGAGGTAGAGTCTGAAGAGGTGTGTCTTTAGTCTGAAGATGTGAAGGCTCTCTGTGGTCCTGATGTCTTCACAAACCTCCTTCCACCATTTAGGAGGCAACTTGTAATAGTTACTAATCCTCGTCTCTCAGTGAGGATTCCTTCAGTCACCAAACATCGAATACGCAGGAGTTTGTTTTAGTTGTTGTCCCCCGGTGGGGGGGGGGGGGGGGGGGTACCTGGAGAACACCTTTAAACTGGGCGGTGACAACTGTGCACGTACGTGCACTTTCACTGGGGATTTGAAGCCGCTGTCAGTCAACGTGATGCAACACTGACAAACAGCTGTTGTCAGGTGTCAGAGTTTTCACACACACACACACACACACACACACACAGCACACACACGGGGGTGTGTGGGACGTTGTGAAACAACCTTATTCATAGACGTATGGAGATGTTGTTGAGAACAGCTGTTACGTAGATGTCTTCATTACATTAATAATAAGTCATTCCATCTTGTTCTTTTATTATGAAACTTTACAAACAGGAAACTGGTCCTGTTTAAATTGTAGCGTCACTCTTGTTTCGTAGGATGTGTCTTTGAAAGGAGTTTGGACAGAAAATCTTTTGCTAAAGAACAAGGTGTTCTACATTCAGAGGCCCCGCCCCTCCGCAGAGGCCCCGCCCCTCAGCGCAGACCGAATCCAGAGCAACTGGAGATGTTGTGCTCTTAATTATAGAGGAATGTGCTTCAACAGAGATCATGTTTCTAAAGAACCTTAAGTTGAAATAAAACATGAAACATACAACACATGAAACACAGAATCATCAATTCAGACAAAATCACACCTGTGTGTGTGTGTGTGTGTGTGTGTGTGTGTGTGTGTGTGTGTGTGTGTGTGTGTGTGTGTGTGTGTGTGTGTGTTACCTCGTCACTGCTCGTGTGCAGACCGTCACCATGAAGCAGCACCCTACAATCACCCAGCCCCACACTCCATCGTGGGTCAACGCCACGCCGCTCCGCCGCTTCCCATCAGCCATTGCAGCAGCTGTTCTGTGGTCCTGGTCCTGAAGTGCCTGGTTCCAGAGAATGACCCCGGGGTCTCTGGCTGAGTAGATGAACTAAAGTGGATCCACTTCCAGGTGGACTCAGTCCTCCTCCCGAGAGAGGCCCCCAGCCGGGTGGACCTGAGGAGCAGTGGACAGAGCGTAGAGAACAAGATCTTCTTGCGTCGGTCCCCGAGTGTCTGAGACTCTCGTTGGGTCAATAAGTCGCCAGCTGACCGTCAATCATTAACCCGGTGCCCTGCATCCACGCTGGAGGTGATGAGATATTAACCAAGCGCTCCCAGATGCTTTTAAGCCTCGAATTCAACACGTGCAGCCCAGACAAGGAGCGCTTCATTCACTGTCCTCCAAGTCACACCTCCCCTTTTCAGCAAGGAGGGGTCGGCAGCGGAGAGGTGTCAGATGTCAAAAGAAGCGCGCCCAGACGGACGGGTTTACCAGGACAGGGGTCATGTACCATGTCCCTGACTGTTTATTCATGTCCTCAGAGGCCAGGACCAGGGTCCAACAGCAACAGGCTGAAGCTTAAAGTGAGGAGATGAAGACGAGCTGAAAGTGATGAAGGTCCAAACAGCCGAGAGCAGCTTTCTCTCCTTCTGGATGTTTCCATGTCTAATTAATACAACATTAATAACTTTACTGATTTGGCACAGCACTAACTCACCCCCCCAGAGGGCTTAACAAGCTGCACACATCCTCTGACCTTTGACCTGCACATCGGTAGTCGGGGATCAGCACAGTGGGGTTTTTTTTGTAGTTTTTCATCGTCGAATTATAACATCCATGAAAACATCTCCTGAGATTCGGAACTGAGGCGTTTTGCAACGAATCTTTTATTTTGAAACCTTTTTCCTTCACCAACTTTTATTTTTCATCAACTTTGACGGAAGCTGCGTATTCACGTCATCCCGGTTTCCGGTTTCCGGAGCTAAACGATGTAATTGATACGTATTATTCATTTATTTGCAGTGTATTTATTACAGAAAGGCCATTTGTATATTTGTACTCCTACGTTGGTTTTACGTTGTAGTTTTATGAAGAAACAAATCTGCGGGAATGTTTGTAGTTGAACCACAGAGAGGTCAAAGGTCAGACGAACCCGGAACATCAACAAGGCGAGCAGAGGTTCCGTCAACGACCCGCCGAGATGTTCTCCGGTTGGCTGGTTGCGGCTCTCGGTCTGACCATGACCCGCCGGTCCTGCTCCTCTCTGTCGGTACCGGACATCGCCGCGTACTTCGGCACCAAAACCCGGTACGAGGAAGTGAACCCGCACCTGCTGCGGGACGTTTTAACCGTGAACGCGTCCGTGCTGAGACCTCCGGCCACCGAGCGCTGCGTCCCGGTCCACCTCACCGCCGTCATCCGCCACGGCAGCCGGTACCCGACCGTCAAGAACATCCGCAGGATCCAGAGACTCAGCGAGCTGGTCCGCAGAGAAGCGAGCGGAAGCCCCGGGGGGTCCGGGGGGTCCGGGGGGGCCGCGGGGGCCGCGGACTGGCTCCAGGACGTCCAGAGCCGCTGGGAGATGTGGTACACCGAGGACATGGACGGTGAGCACCGGGGACTATGTTAGATTACTCCAATAAAACAATAAGGAAGATCTTTATGTTAAGTTACCAAACTATTAAAACAATAACATTAAACTAAAATATTACTGAAGATGATATAAACTAAATAAAAATGAAATGATATCATAATACTGAACATCTAGCTGTTGAATGAGAAAACTCAAACACTGCTGATGATACTTGTGTAAGTACATCTACGTGTTTTGAAATATGATGAAGTCATTTCTAATAACTCAGGCCAGCTGGTGCTGAAGGGCAGAGAGGACCTCCGTCAGCTGGCGGCGCGTCTCTCCCTCTTGTTCCCGTCCCTGCTGACGGAGGAGAACGAGATGAGCATCAGTCTGAGGAGCAGCTCCAAGCATCGCTGTGTGAGCAGCGCCGAGGCCTTCCAGGAGGGTCTGCAGCTCCACTGGAGACACAGCGGTGAGTGAAAGTACTGACCCTCCCTGTAAAGAGTACTGTTACAGTAGTACTACTCGCCCCCTGCAGACGTGCAGTACCGCCACCTGGTGGACGACAAGCTGATGCGTTTCTTCGAACGTTGCCGTGGTTACGTGGAGGGGGTGGAGAAGAACCGCACGGCGCTGCTGGAGGTGCACAAGTTCAAACACGGGCCGGAGATGGAGCGCGTGAAGAGGAAGGTTGCCGGGAGGCTTGGCCTCCACCAGCACCACCTCACAGCGGGTCAGACACACACTGTTCTGGATCTTGGTTCATCCTCAGAACTTTGACTCCACTTTCCTTCAAAGACTGTTCTGGTCTCTGTTGTGTTCTTGGTTCTGGTCTCTTGAAGACTGTCCTCCCGTCCTGTAGATCTGGTGGAAGCGGCGTTCTTCTTGTGTTCCTACGAGCTCTCCATCAAATCTCTCCACTCATCCTGGTGTTTCCTGTTTGACGAAGATGATGCAAAGGTAATCAATAATCACAAAAGATCAATACTAAAAAACTTTTCAGGGATTTATGTTGGTGTTTATTTTGGACAGTTGAGCAGTGAATGAAATTATGAATAAATGGTCACATGGTACATTCATTAATAACTGATCGCCTCTGCAGGTGTTGGAGTACAAATCCGACCTGAAGCAGTACTGGAAGCGTTTCCATGGTTACATGATCAGTAGCCTGTCCAGCTGTCCTCTGTTCCATCACATCTTCAGGACTCTGGACAAAGCAGGACGACCTCGCCGGTCAGCGACCATTATGTGGGGGGAGCGAGACCATAAACAGTGTTTACTGAGGGAATAAATCAAGAGAAGAGTCGCTACAGATGCTGCTTTAACACTTTATTCGTTTTCATCAGGTCCACCGACGCTCCTCCCGAGCCGGCCTCCATCCTGATTGGTCACGCCGAGACGCTCCTCCCCCTCCTCTCCTTGCTGGGACTCTACAAGGACCAGACTCCACCCACCGCCGACAACTACCACACGCAGCACGGTAAGAGGCTCCGCCCCGTTGGCTTAGCGGCGCTCTTCTGTGGTTCAGCTGTCGATGGTTCACGTGTCTCCCAGGCAGGAGCTTCCGGTCCGGCCTCATTGTCCCGTACGCCGCCAACCTGCTCTTCGTCCTGTACGACTGCCAGCGGGGCCCCCGGCTGCAGCTGCTAGTCAACGAGTCGCCAGTTCGATTCCCAGGGCTGGAGACGGAGGACGCGCCGCTGTACCGGGACGTTCGGGCGGCGTACCGCCACCTTCTGGACGGCTGTGACTTCCAGCGGGAGTGCGAGGGGACGAGCGTCGGCGGCCGGGGCCCGAACATCGAGCTCTGAGGCCTCGGCCTTAATCAATGCCTTCATTTATTGATCACGTGCTAAAGAGTTTAGCGCCTCTTGCTGGTCGGTTGGTGGAACTGAAGAGGAGCTTTTCAGTATCACGTTGCAACTTCTTGAAATACAAAAAGGTTTGAAACCGTTCCTCTTTGGCCTCTCTGAGTCCCGCCCCTTCCTGTGTCCACCAATGACATGTGGTCATCGGACCGACCGTTAAGATCTATAATGTAGCCGTGCCGGCTAACACGGCTAGGTTCTTTCTAGCGAGGAAGGAAATGAACGGTCTCCTGAGAACTTTGATTTATGAAAAATGTTTTGTGATTCATCATTGGTTCCCGATTCCAAGGGGATCAAACTTCTAAATTCATGTGAACTCAGGTTTCTGTAATTTTAGATTTTACTTTTAAATTAAATAAGCATTCAATTCAAGTCCTTGGATTAGAAAAAGTTTTAAAATTTCCTTTTTATTTTAAGGACACTCGAGTCAAACCGGCTGCGGCTCTTTTTTGGTGAACTGACCTTTTAATCTGTCAGTTATGAGAATGATTTTTCAGGGTTGTTTTCCATCTTTATTTATTTGAATGATCATGTGATTGTTTGCTTTAAAGCTGCACTTCCTGCAAGCAGATGCTGCTGTGGTGTTTTTTCACAATAAGAGTCCTGTTACGGAGAGCATCAAGCAGCTCTGGTTCTGATTCTAGATCAGTTTAAATATTAAAATGAGGCTTTGGTTTCCACTCTTTTGACTCGCGGAGTTATCGCACAACTATACCAAATGTTTACACGATGAGCTTTAATAAACCTTTTTCCACTCATGAGCAGTGTTTCATGTTATTTATTAATCATCAAAAGACGTCATTTTAACCAGTTGGGTCTCTAATGACCAAGGCGTGAGAACAGCGGATGCTAACCGCTAACCTCCTTTAATGAGATGCTATCATCTGTAAACTTGACTCTTTTTCAGACTTGGTGACTAACAATAAGTGAAATGTTTATTAACGGAGGAAACATGCAAATCATTGCATAAAAATACATCAGATGTCTCTGGAGTAACAGTGTGGACAAAAGGAAAATATGCTTTTTTTTAATTGATTGATCGATCTTGTGTCAGTCAATAGTTTACTAAACGGTCTCTGAGAAGCCCCTCCCTCCCTCAGCTGTCAATCACTACGTCAGGTGGGGCTTTGCTCTCTTGGCTGCCGGAGCTTCACCTGCTCGGGTAAAAAGACAAAAACATGTTATTGATCGGGCATTGGACCGATGATCACATCAATCACGTGGGGGGGTGGGACCTACTGTCAGCAGGTGGAGCCCCCTGCAGGCTGGAGGACTCCGTGCACGACTTCATGGTGTAGATGATCCCACTGGCCAACTTCCTGGTTTCTAAAGACAACCATCTTCAGACTGGCAACAAGTACATCAATGATGTAGAAGTACATTAAAACCAGAACAATACGCAGTATTAGTAATCACCTGCATGAAGTACAACTGATCGACAGGTTGTGGAGACGGCGTCTTTAGCGTCAGCGTCTGACAACCCGAACAACAAACCTCTGAGGAGCAACATCAGGAGAACAGCTGGGATTACGCACACACACACACACACACACACACACACACACACACACACACACTGATGAACAATAGGAAGGATACAGGTTGGTGATGTCATACGGTCCTCTGATCTCCAGAGGCTGAGGACGGACGGACACACACACACACACTTTAGTATTGATCTCACATTGATCGGGCTGCACACCTCACTACTGATCACAGACCTTCTCAGCTGCACTGGACAGGATCACATTCTGAAAGAAGCAGAGGGCATTAGGCTCCGCCCACCGTGACATCACCACCACATCACTGAATGTTTGACAGGAAGCCGTGAGGGACAGAAAGGACGGACCTTCCCTCTGCAGCTCTCCATCAGGGACACGGCGTTAGCGATGGTGTAGCGCCTCCTGGTGGAGTCCCTGATGGCCGCGGAGTACGACACCTCGAACACCACCCCTCTGCCCACGGCCTGAGCGCACACACACACACACACGTGTACTACACCACACGCGTGTACAACACTACACGCACTAACAGTAAGGATCTCACCCCGTTGACCGGCGCTCTCTTGAAGAAGAACGGAAGCTTCTCTGTGACGGAGACACAGATGATGTCGACTTCATACAGCATACAGGCTGCCTGCGCACACACACACACACTTTGTGTACTCCCTTATTATCACAAAGCAGGCACGTGCACAGATAGTTTGTTAGTTTATTTATAGAATTTAAGTTAGTTTGTTAACAAAAAATACATGTTAATATATCTTACTGTGTTTTTATTCATTATTATTTTAAAATGCATGAATGATGTTGGCAATGGGTGTCCTCTTACAATGTGTATTAAAACACAGAAATACTCACATGGAAAAGTTTCTCTGTGGTCGGCTGGACGGCGAGGAGATCGAACCCCCGATACTCTGCAGCATTAGGCCTCTACACACACACACACACACACACACACACACACACACACACACACACACACACACACACACACACACACACACACACACACACACACACCCTTTAACATCCATCCAACAGCTGAGGGATTTTATTCTGACAGGGCATGCTGACATATTTCAAAATAAAAGCACTCACAAAGTGACTGGAGTCGGACATCACAACGGTCAACCTGTTGAGCACTCTGATTGGACGAGAGCGACCCTGAGGGAGACAGAGACATGTGTTACCACAGAGACAACAAGTCCTCTTCATCTTCATCTTCGTCATACCTGCACAGCGGGCAGCTCATCGATCAGCTCTTTGATCAGCGTCGGGCTCGGAATCTCCTTCAGACAGGAAATGGTTTAGTGAAACAAAATAAAAGTCCGTCCTCGCTGATATTTACTCATCTGATAAAGACAGAGACTTTTCCAGAAGTGGGGCTCAGGTGAGACTCACCTGCTTCTTTTTGGCCGTGGGTTCGAACACGTGGTTGATTGCGACCGTGGAGAAACCGACTGCAGGAAGAAACCACACAAATGTCTGACTTCTACTTCCACGAGGGGGACGTATCAAAGCACCACGTCTACTGGCAAAACTTGTCTCTGGATCACATCCGTATATATATATATATATATATATATATATATATATATATATATATATATATATATATATTACAGTTCTATTCTCAATAAAGATTATGTTACGGTTATACAGGCCGGTCCAAGAGACACGGCTGCTAACGTTAGCTCAGTTAGCAGCCCGGTGAACAGACCCCAGGGTCCCGCAGGTAACGTGTGCTTTGGGGGGCTTTGGGGGCTTTGGACTCACGGTGGGCCGCTGTCTCGATCAGACTCCGCATTCTGCTCTTGTCCGTCGTGTAGTTCAGGTTTAAATCCATAAACACAGACATGATGCTGCTAAACGAAGCTCTCCGCCTCACGCGTGGAGCCGAACAGCCTGCCGGGAGATGTAGTCCAGTTTGTGTGTGTGTCTTTAGCTTCCTGTAGGGGGCAGAGCCACGTGACGCACAGTGAAGAAGAGGAGGAGGAAGAAGTCACAGACGAGAAGAAGAAGAGTATGCAGTTGTTTTTACGCTCCTCCGGTTCCGGACGATTTCACACCAGACTCCGTTCAGAAAGATCTCGATTCTATTAATCCGGTATTTTCTGAGAGCCCCAAACTGTATTTAACGTTACAAAGTTCTACTTTATGTCATCGATGATTTCTTCAAGGTTAAAACGGAGAACGTAAATCATTGATTATGGGTTCACGTAATGCTCAACAAACTTCACCGTCACTGACGTGTAAACTATAAATAATGTGCTAAATGACCAGTGGACTGTGGCTTATAATCTATTGCTTTAGTACGCGTTATTAAGAGATTAAAATAATAAGACTCTGGATAATGAAACAGCGTTCTGCTTTCTCACTGCAGATGAATAACATATGAGCTACTACTAGATTCCCCCTGTTCCCAGTCTTTATGCTAAGCTGGGCTTAGCATAAAGACTTCCCTTCTACTCATTTTGAAGAACTTTTGAAGAACTTCAGACATGTTGAGACCTCTGAAGATTCCACATCTATCAGCCCGATGCGGCTCAAACTTTGTCTCCAGGATGAGGTTTGTTGACTGGTTTATTGACTGACTGACTGACTGGTTGGTTGGTTGGTTGACTGTTCCGTCCTCTCAGGTATGTGAACAGGTTGAAGGTGGATGATGAAGCGTTGGCTGCAGCACTGGAGAACGGTCACATGCTCTTGTTCCATCGCCTGTCTCCTCTGCTGCAACGCACCCCCCAGGGATCCTTCAGGCCGCCTACGCTGATCACCACAGGTAGAGCCTCAGAACCAAGGGTGGAGAACCACAGGTAGAGCCTCAGAACCAAGGGTGGAGAACCACAGGTACAGAGCCTCAGAACCAAGGGTGGAGAACCACAGGTACAGAGCTTCAGAACCAAGGGTGGAGAACCACAGGTACAGAGCTTCAGAATCAAGGGTGGAGAACCACAGGTACAGAGCCTCAGAACCAAGGGTGGAGAACCACAGGTACAGAGCCTCATAACCAAGGGTGGAGAACCACAGGTACAGAGCCTCAGTGAAACGAACTACAGATGGAGAATTTTAGTTACAGATTGACAGGAGTGAAGTGAAGAACCACAGGTAGAGAACCAAAAGTGGAGAACTTCAAAGTAGGGAACCATAATTACATGGAGAACCATGAAGGTAGACCATTGTAGAAGTTCAGAGAGCTTCAAACACTCCTGATTAGCATTCTTGTGTTCCAGATGTGCAGTCCATCCTGGAGAAACTAGGTTCTGACAGAACCCTGATGAAGAAGTCGATTTTGCTGGGCTGCTCCGAACAGAACCAGGTCCAGTTCTGTCTGGACGTTGGTGAGAACATTTAGTCTAAAGTACTCCTGGTTGCATGGAAGCGCTGTGAAGTCCCTGAATGCGCCGGTCTACTCTACCTGAAAATTCTATGGGTTCTGGTTGTAGGAGAACTGCATCAGGCAGCAGTAGAAGAAGAGTGCGGAGGAAAGTTCATCAGTCTGAAGAAGGCATTCTTTCTGCTGACGGGACCAGAGGCGCCTCTCGTGGCCAAGGTGGGTAACTACACCCGTACTCGGTACTACAACTTCTACCACTGTGTGTAGTACACATACATCATTATATTTACTACAGTGTGTACTACTACTGTACTATGTGGACTTCATCTGTTTGAATTGACCCACCTATAGATTTGGAATGAAAACTCCCCTTATAGGTCGTCTGTTCTGACCCACATTTGTTCTTCAGGGTCGGGCTCTGCTGCGCTGGCATCAAACCAACAGCTTCTGCAGCGCCACAGGCGAGCCGACCCAACGCAACCCGGCAGGAAGTCAGAGGGTTTGCAACAGCTCTGGCATAGTCTACTATCCCACGGTAACAGACCCGACAAGAACCCAAGTCCGCTGGTGGTCTGGAGGTCTGACTGGTTTCTGCTGTTCCCCTCCAGATGTCTCCGGTGGTGATCGTCCTGGTGTCGGATGGGAAGCGGTGTTTGTTAGGACGCCAGTCCTCCTTTCCCCAAGGGATGTACAGCGCTCTGGCTGGCTTCTGTGACATGGGTCAGTACACCGGTTCATGGTACCAACAGTCTACATATGTTGTCCTTTCCGACTAATCACCGGTCCGCTCACCTGGACCTCTCTGGTTGTTCCAGGTGAGACTGTGGAGGAGACCCTGAGCAGAGAGGTGGCGGAGGAGGTTGGTCTGGAGGTCCTCAATGTTTCCTACAGCTCCTCTCAGCACTGGCCATTTCCTCACAGCTCCTTCATGATGGGCTTTCATGCTTCCGTTAGCCCCACCTACACCCAGGTGAGCCCGCTAGCGCCCCCTACAACCAGGTGTGCCCGTTAGCCCCACCTACACCCAGGTGAGCCCGTTAGCCCCACCTACACCCAGGTCAGCCCGTTAGCCCCACCTACACCCAGGTGAGCCCGTTAGCCCCACCTACACCCAGGTCAGCCCGTTAGCCCCACCTACACCCAGGTGAGCCCGTTAGCCCCACCTACACCCAGGTCAGCCCGTTAGCCCCCCCTACACCCAGGTCAGCCCGTTAGCCCCCCCTACACCCAGGTTAGCCCCACCTACACCCAGGTCAGCCCGTTACACCCAGGTGAGCCCGTTAGCCCCACCTACACCCAGGTGAGCCCGTTAGCCCCCCCTACACCCAGGTGAGCCCGTTAGCCCCCCCTACACCCAGGTGAGCCCAGGCCACTTTGGTTTTAGTTTCTAAATGTAGGGATATTAAACACAGCTAAGGGGGCTTTCAGCTATAATCAATGTTCCCATGGTTTCTTTCACTTGATTTTGGACTCATTAGTGGACCCAGCATCGAGCCCAGAGGTGCTCCAGGAAGACCTTCTTGTAGTATTCAGTCATATGACCTGCTTGTCGTCCAGGTGTCAGTAGACCACACAGAGTTGGAGGACGCTCGCTGGTTCAGTCTGGAGGAAATCACATCCGCCCTGCAGGTGAAGGCTCCGCTCAGCAGAGGAAAGCCCGCCGCCGGCTTCTGGCTTCCTCCGAAACACGCCATCGCCAACCACCTCATCACAGAGTGGACCCACCGCCAGCGAGCCCAATCAACCATCTGAACAGACTACGTGTACCGATTTACACACTTTACATCATGGAACATCTGATGTTCTTCAGGACAGATCAGTGAACACTTTTAAATGGACACAAACTTCATTGGACACTTGTTTGAATGTATGAACTAAAAGATCTGGATGTGTCACTTTATTCTATTTTTATTGACATGTAATAAAACTCAACATGAAGCCAGTGAGTTCACTGAGATCCAAAAGGTACAAACATTAAGAACTATGTTTAACCATCACACGCATGAACCAGCTGTAAGCGCGTCGTTGTGAAGTCCAGATCCGACTCCACGGTACCCGCCAGGACGCTCTCGGCCCGTCTCTGCAGGTCGGTGTCGAGCAGCGCCGCTCCGAACCCAAAGCGGTCCTTCAGGACCAAAAGAAATGAGTGGGTTAATGACATCTGTGCTCAGTTAATTATGAATCACAATTGAGGGAATTGTTTGATTTGGGCACCTTCTTCTTGCTGGCGGGTGGAGCAATGGGGGGGTTAAAGGTCATGTCTTTGACGCTGTAGACGTTAAAAAGTTCCACCGGAGACCTGGACAGGAAGTCAAGACCGTGATCATGTAGTCATGATATCAAAGGAAGGTCAGCGTACCGGCCCTTTAAGCACATACCTGCGGCTCAGGTCCACCCCGAGCGAGGCCGAGCCGTCGCTGGGAGCTCCGTGACTCAGGTGGTGCGCCAAGCGCCGCACCACCGGGTGGAAGTGTCTCTGTGTGGGGGGGGGGGGGGGGGAGAGTATGAGTCCAACGTAGTGTGTGTGTGTGTGTGTTCCCAACTTTATCAACAAGTCACACAACTAAAATCAATCAAACAAAACATCAACTCCGGCAACGACAGCGTCGCGTGTTTTGGAGAGAATGGGAAACGTACGGTTCGTTTAAATGGACAAGTGTATTTCAACCACTGAAGTACATCACCGGAGTACTACGAGCCTGAAGTACTACCAGACTACTGCAGCTGCCCAACCTGCATCACTGAAGGCTTTAAAGTTCAGCTCCTCTAACAGGGTGAAGAGAAAAGATTCACATCCTGTATAAGAACCTGCTGGTGCTCCGAGAGCGCAGCTTCTATTGTTCTCATAATATTACTTTAAAACAAAAGCCTGCAATCCAATAGTTTTTGATTCATCATTGAATTCTGCGCATAATGTATTTAATCGATAGAAACAAAATCAGAATAACTAAGAAATAAGCAAAGTGAGAGAGAGAAGACCGAACCAGGCACATGAGCAGTACCTGCAGAGTGTGCAGCTCCCACAGCGCCGTGTTCTGGGCGTTGCAGTGCTCGGGCTCGTCCAGCTCCGGCAGGTAGAAGCCGCTGCCCTGAACCTCGTTATCCAGCAGGAAGTCGCACTTGGGGAAGGCCTGCGGCACACAGCGGACATGAAGGTGCGCTCTCACAGGCACTGCTTGTACAGGGAACACCGGCGCTCACTCACGTGGACAGTGGCTCTGCCGGCGGCGAGGAGGCCCACGCTGGCGTTGGGCAACACGTGCAGACTGAGCACGCCCAGACGCTTGACGAACGCCATCGCCCTCTGCAGGCTCACCTGCTTCCGGCGGCGGGTCAGCATGGCGTCCAGGCACCGCAGCACGATGATGATGTCATCATTGGGCCCCCCTGAGGCAGACAGAGAGCAATGAGCGGGGGGCTGACATGGGAACGATGAACACGTGAAGTGCGATGGTGACCTCTGACCTGCGTGGAGCCTCGGCAGCATCCTGTAGAGCTGAGAGTAGAAGGTAAGCGGGTCGATGTTCAGAACGTCCCCTAGTGATAGAGACATGAGGACAGGGACACAGGTGAGGGCCGAGAGACAGACGGGTGGAGACAGATGAGGGGAGAGCCGACAGACAAACGGACAGACGGACCTTGTCCTGACAGGATGGTGAACACCGTCTGGATGCAGTGCAGACTCTCGCGATTGGTCAGATCCTGTTGACAGGAGGACCATCAGTTAGTCACATGATCCATCTGATGATGCCTTACTTAGGGGGCGGGGTCGAGCTGAATACTCACTCCTGATTGGATGAGGTGCTGCAGCACATTGAGCAGATCGTCAAAGAACTCCAGGTTGATCAGGTGAGCAAAGCTGACAGGAAGTGATATCACTGTCAGTACTTGGAAGTGTGTGCGTGCGTGCGTGTGCGTGCGTGCGTGCGTGTGCCGTACTTAGCCAGCCCCTCCAGAACAGCAGGGAGAAGAACCGACTTCTGGGCTTTCTTTAAGATCCTGAAGTAAATGAGGAAGACGATGTTGAGGGTCTCCGTGTGCTGAAGAAGAGGAAGAGTTTAGTTTGTCCTCCGTTAAACTTTAAAAAGGTTTATTTAATTTCTCTGCTTTCGACTCACCAGTTTGATCTTCTTGTCTTTGCTCTCAGAGGCCTCGGCCTCCAGCAGCTCCTTCTCCAGCTTCTCCTCAGCTTTCTTCCACTGCGCGCGCACACACACACACACGCACACACACACACACACACACACACATTATGGCCAGCTGTACAGGTGTGTGATGGTGCACCGTCTGGAGCGCTTCATTCACCTTCCTCTGCATCCTGGACAGTTTCTTCTTCTTCTCTTTGTTGTTCATGAACTTCTTCTTTGGTGCCGTGTCCTCAATGTCCTTCTTCATCTGCACCTCCTTTATCCGCAGACAGAGCAGAGTCTTCAGCACCTGGAGGGGGGGGGGGGGGGGGGGGGTTACACCAGTCTGTGGGAGGGTCTGACTTCACTAATAAACTAATGACATTGGTGGGTGCGTTTGATTCATCACCTCAGGCCTGACGTTGAAGTTGAGGCTCTTGACGAGGCCGGAGATGACACGCACAGTGGCCAAAGAAGCCCCGCCCTCTTTGTCCTGCTGGAAGAGCTTCCTGAACGCATCACAGCATATACCCGACACCTGTAACAGAGAGACACCTGAACGCATCAAACGCCTGTCACACCACGTGCGTGTCACACAGACACTGGAGCTCACCTGCGGCTCGGCGTCGTTCATGAGGGGGACGAGGACCACGATGATGTTGTTGTGGAAGTTAAAGTGGGGGAGGGCGAGCAGCAGCTCACAGAGGCAACGTATGGCCACCTGAGCCAAGCCCAGGTAGGACTGGAAGCCCACTGCCTGGCTGCGCTTCTTCTTCTGCTGCTTCCAGTCTGCAGGTGGAGGTCAAACACACCAACTAGCACCTGGATCACCAGCCTGTGTGTGTGCCTGTGTGCTACTGTGGTTGTGTACCTTTGATGGTCTGCTCCAGGTCCTCCAGGTAGAACTTATACTGACTCACCAAACCTTCCTCAAAGTCTCTGATCAGCTGAGTGTCCTTCTTCACCTGCAGTCCATGAGAACAAACAAATGTTAATGAGTCAGGACCAGATGGAGGAGCCCACCCAAGCACGCAGGCGCTGGTTACCTTCGAGGCCTTCTCCTCGGGGGTCAGAGGTCGTATCCTGTAGGTGGGGGCCACGTCTTTAAAGATCTCCATCAGAGAAACCATCACCAGCTTTCTAACCGTTACCGCCACCGAGGGGTCGGACTCCATCAGCATGCCGCGCATCTCCTTCACCCGCTTAATCTGGGACACACACACACAGGTCACTCATGGCGCCTGCACGCGGAGGCTGGTCTCAGGTCAGCAGGGCGGCCTCACGTTGCTGTAGGGGTCGGACACCACGGCTGACCCCAGGCGGGCGATGCACAGCCTCCTCTCGTTGATCTTGTGAACTCGGAGCTGCTCTCGCTGCTCTGAGGTCAGCGCCTCCTCCAGCGGCTCTGAGGAGGAAGTTCATCATGTTGAGGCCTGTGACTCATCGGTGATATTAACAGGTTGTCCATGAGGTTTCAGGGTCAAGGTCACTCGTACCGATTTCAACCTCCAGCTCTTCAGCAGTATCGTCCTCCTCCTCCTCTTCCTCCTCCTGAGGCTGCTTTTGGACGACTGCAAGCGAACACCTTGATTTTACCAACACAACTTTACGAACATTTAACGAAACATCTTCATCAACATAACTCAATCACTGCGGATCAATATCCGATCAATACACCTCTCTCCACGCTGCGAAGGACCACCCCCCTCTGGTCTTTGATGGGCAGTAGGTGGATCACCTCCTTCTCCTCAGTCCTCTTCAGCTTCCTGGGAACCTTCTCGTGCCCTCGCATCACCTCGGCGCTCCTCTTCTTCCCGCCGTGCACCGGGCCGCTGGGATGCGCCGCCCCCCAAACAAGCACACCATGGTCAGTCGCTTGGTTTGACACCGTGTTGCCATGTGTTTTCTGAGTGTGTGCGTTACCATGACGACAGGTCCCGGGTGACAAAGGAGGCGTGGCGAGCCATGGCGGTCATCTGCTGCACGTCGTCATCCTCCATCATGTCAGTGGGCAGACTCTCCAGGAACTCCTCATCCTCCTCTTCCTCTGTGAGACACATATTGATCAGGTGAGAACACTGAGCAGTGCACTGTGGGAGAACACCTCCTCGACACCCCCCCCCTTACCGGGCCTCTTCCGGTACGTCTCCAGGGGGCGGGGCTTCCTGATGGCTGAATCCTTCACTGCCGCCCGCAGCTTCTTATGCTCCTTCCGCTGCTTTTTGGCAACGTTCTCCTGCTTATTCCGACGGTTGTTCAGCTTGTTCTCCAGCTTCAGGCCGCTCGTCTTCAGCAGGCGGCGGAACGTCGGGCGGCGCTTCTTAGAGCGGGGCTGGGGGGGTCAGAGAGAGGGGTCAGGGTTATTTCTCACGGATTACTTGGTCTCCCACAATGCTTTGCGGTTTTCCATTAAATAAGATTCAGTTGATTGAAACAAATTCTACTTTAACAGAGATGTGTTTGTTAGTCAGATGTTTTATTTAACAACTAATATATAAATAACTTCGTCAATAAGATGCTTATTTTTTATCAAGATGAGTTTGAACTTTATATTCAGTGAAACAGAATCTGCTTCAGTCTACAGCGACAGAATTCAATAAAAAAAAAAAAACAGTCGTTGGGTCAAAAGACTTGTTGTTCCACACGGTGTGGCTCTTTCTCGGTCTATGGAGTCCGGTGTGAGACGGACGGGCTCCACTCCCGGTGACGGGTCCTTTAACGGTTTTACGTCCCGGTACTTACCGGAGCCATGGCGGCACAAACTCTCCGTCTCTCTCCGCAGCTTCAGGCCCAATTTTGATCGCCCCTCTCGGCTGTTTGTGACTCAACGTGTCGGTGTGTTTTGGTGAAGAAGCTTCGGTTTGTTTCCACACGCGTGTTGACCGGATATCCGGTTTTAGACCGATGAACCGGAAGTGATCGAGCAGGCTGGTGAGCACCGCCCCTAGTGGCTGGAGGTCAGACAGCAGGATACATCAGGAAGGGACATTTATTATTACATTTATTTTAAATTATTTATTAAATAAAAATACTAAGGACAATAAACAAAGTTAATATGTATTTACATACAGTTACATATAAAATGAATAAAACAACAGAATCAACAGTTCGTTGACAATATTCAAACATTAAAAAGAAAATGTAGAATATTAAATGTTTGTTTTAGTGTTGTTCCTCTTTGGAGAACTAAAGCTTGTGACCTCACACAATAATAAATTACTCAATAGATACTTAAGACAGTAATTAATGGGACAGCCATTTGAAAATAAAAAGATATACAAATTATTAAAGAAAATAATGCAATAGCATATTCATTAATATGTATTCATACAATACCAGTCAAACATATTTATATGCTTCTCACATTAGCAGTTCTCACATTAGCAGCTTAAGTATATCTTTAAATGTTTTATTAGAGAAAGGAATAAAGATCGATGACTGAGACGTGATGTTGAGTAGATGAAGTGAAGTTATAAGTTCATAAGCAGATCAGCTGATGCCCTCGGCGTCTCAACAGGACAACAAAACCTGAGACAGAAAAACAGAACACGGTTTTATTTATTTTAACCTTACTCGTACTCGTCATGCGACTCACCTGAGTCCACTTCCTGTTCCCACTTAGCAGGGGCGTGGCCAGGATGCAGGAGAACAGCCTATTGGAGAGCAGCCCTCCGTCGGGCAGGTGGGACAGGAATTGAGCTGGGGGAGGATCGATTGAGTTAATGTTTTTTTAACAAGGTTGAGGGTTTGGGGTCAGGCGCCGCCTCACCGATGCCAACCAGGTCCATCTGCAGCAGGACGTCCTGGTGGAGTCTCAGGATTCCCAGAGCCACCCTGAACAGGAACTCCTCCCCATCCCGGAAGAACACGTCCCACACTCTGCTCGCCACATCCAGAGGGAGGGTCTTCACATAGAGGGTCAGGATCCTGGAGGGGAAAACCGTTCTAAGCTAGGATAGCAGTTTGCCTACTGACTGTACCTGAGGTCTGACTCACCAGTCCATGAGGTAGAGGTCCGGAGTCACACCTGAAGACTGGAAGTGAAGGAAGAGTTGAGGGAGAAGCTCCCGGAAGAACACCTGGAAGGCGCCGAAATACCTGAGCATCTGGAGAGAGAGAGAGACCAGGTAAAGGCTGTGGTCCTGGTCTAGGCCTGTCCGGAAACGCCACTGGCTCCCCATCCCACAACGGATCAAATACCAAATCCTTCTCCTCACTGACAAAGCCCTCCATATTCAGGCCCCCTCCTACCTCACCAACATGCTCCACAATCACCTTCCATCCTGTCTTTGAGCATTTGGAAAAGCGCTATATAAATGAAATGTAACAGGTCGTTGTTGTGGTCTGGGTCCAGGTCCAGGTCATCGTTGTGGTTCGGGTCCAAGTCCAGGTAAAGGGTGTGGTGAAGTACAGGTAGAGCGTGAGAGAGGTGCCTGCGTACCTGCTCGTGGTCCACTCTGTAAAAAGACAGCTGACAGCGTCTGTTGATCAGGTTGGAGAAGCTGATGAAGCCCTGAACTTCGTCCATTTTCAGGATCAACATTGTTGGGAGGGGGGACATCCCCTGCCCCTGGGGGGGGGGGGGGGGGGGGGTGACAGGTCTACAGCATCTCTATCCGAAGCATTCTGACACTTTACCTGTGTGTGTAAGACTCACATATCCCACGTCAGGTCGGTAACAAGTGTACGCTCCCAGAATGCTTTGCAGCAGGTTGTGGTATGGTCCGCCCTACAAAAAGAAAGTGCGAGTTGACTTCCTGTCTGGAGGTGAACACACCAGGTGAGTGTTTCACCTTGTGGAAGACGCAGAGCGAGGGCAGCGCCCTGGAGATATCCCGCCTGATGAGCTCTGTGCCGTCTGCAGGTAAACAGGTCCAGGTGAGTCAGACGATACCATCACAACTAGCTCCACCAGGTCTTATATTTACCCTCAGTCCCAAGGACGCCCGTCCACTTCTCCTTGGCTCTGGACAGGAAGATTTGGTAGAGCTCTGAGGAAGAGGAGGAGGGTTAGAGGATAAGGAGAGTTAGGAGGATGAGTAGAAGGTGGAGCGTTATCAGAAAGATAATGAGGAAAGAAAAGTTAGGAGGAGGATAAAAGCTCCTCCGTGTTGTAGGTACCTGCAGTGATGTTGAGCTCGTTGCCGACGGCGAGGCTCCAGACCCGCCCTCTGACGCTGGGGGGTAAACCCCCCCACCACAAGTCCCGAGCCCGACGACTGGACCTCCTAACACAATGACCATCACAGCCTTTCTGACATCACTATAAAATCTGACATCAAAACAGACCCCCATGACATCATCACCCACATGGCGTCCCAGCGCGGCAGGATGTGCTGGTTCCAGACCAGCGAGGTGTTGGAGATCTCCTCCTCCTGTCTGAACCTCTCCTCTTTCTGCTGCTGCCTCCTCTGAGCCTCCTTTAGCTCTGAAGGGAGGCAAACAGGAACCACGAGATTCTCAGGATCTCCCTTCAGCCCCAAGAGCATTATGAGAAAAGTAGTCAAAACATATGCAATGTTAAGCTCCACCCGCGTGGGAGGCGCTGTAGGGTATATCAATACCCATCCTCTTGGCTTCGGCCACCATGTCCTCGTACTGCTGTCTGTGTCTCTGTGTCTCCTCCGCCGACTTGGCTGGAAGGTTCCTACACACAGACACAATGTGAGGACACAAGAAGGTGGTAGAGAGACAGGAAGTAGAGAGACAGGAAGTAGTCGTACGGCGGCCGGTCCTCCAAGATTAGCGCTGTGGTCGACAGCGGCTCAAACTCCACCTTCCTCTTGCTCTGCTGCCCCGCGGCATGATGGGTAGAAGAGCTGCATGTCGCAACCTGCCGCGCCTTGAACTCCTGCAACGACATCATGACAACGAGAGAAAAGCACAGGTGTTGATTAAAGCCAGCTACACTTGTCTTTTATTTTGAAAATACTTCTATTCCACCTGCTATACTACTTTTATTTTGACAGTCTTTACCTGCTGGATGACCTGAGACTGTTTGCTGGGACTTTGTTTGGGAGGAACTTTACCAAACAGCTTCCACCCAGGGACGTTGTGACTGAGGGGCCGCTGCTTCCTGCTGAGGACACAAGGGAACAGGATGGACACTGTGCATTACCTCATTATCTGAGCTATATGGCACGCCTCGTAATACAGTCATCAATCGGGCATTGATCTGGCATTGCCTCGTGTCTACAATACCTGCTGAAGTACTCGGCGAGTCCCGGTCTCCTGGACTGTAGCTCGGACTCAGAGTCTCCGTCGTCCTGCTCCATCTGACCCGGAGCGCTCTGCCTGCGGCGGCACTTGAACGTATTCCTGCAGTGACGAGTGGCGAGTCTCTGCCCACCTGGCGCTGTGGGCTCTGCGGTGAAGGCGTCATCATCGGAGCTGACCACTTGGAGGTCAGAGGTGAACTCCCCCTCTGAGGGGTTGGTCACATGGTTTACACACTGACAGGCCTCCGATGGCGACGCAGAGCAGGTGGACTTGCCAGAAGCCCCGCCCCCACAGCAGTTAACCTGTGATCCCTCGGTACAGGACGACGCCCTGTTTGAGCTCGCTGACAGACACTTCACTTCCACACTTTGATTCATCCTTTTAGTTTGGGAGATGTCATATCGCAGACTAGGCCCCGCCCCCTGACTGTCAGAACAGCATCTCATTAGTCGCCCCGTGCCGGAGCAGAGCGAACAGGTAGTGAGGTCCAAACACTTGCTGTGTCCTGAACCTGTGAGCTGCTGGGCTATGACATCAGCAGTGGAGGAGGAGGAGGGGAAACAGCAACGATGATGATGATGATGCTGCGAAGACGCAATCTTGCTCCTTTCCATTTCACTTCAACAAACAAACTTCCTGTCTGTGAAAGTAAAAGTATTTCAGTAAGATATGTTTTGTCTCCCTTTGAGAGGGCAAAGACTGGAAAGACTACTTTTAAATCCATCTCAATGTTTATTTAACGATTCACCACTTTCCATATATCTTCGTATTCATTCATAGTTTATCTTTATATGGCTTTCAAACATTTTATTATCAGATTGACTTGGTTTCCGGTCTTGTTATAGTAGCCTACTGTAAGCTATTGTTACATAGGTGTTCCGGTGTGGGGGCTTTTGTTGTGAAGGGGGAGATGGAAGGAGAGGAAGTTGAGGTGGTGTTGTGAAAAAAGATATAAATAAAGTTGCGGCCGGTTTGGCGCAGAACTGGAGCTCCGGGTTGTTCTTGTGTTATTGACACGTGTAGGCGCACTACCCGGCTACAGTACGTTTTATTTTGAAGGCCAGCCCCCCTTGTTTCCGCTGTTGTCCGTGACTTTTTCACTCACCTCTGCGGATCTCCTGCCAGCGCTGCTCGGCAGAAACCAAGGCGGCCGTGACGGATCCTTCCTTGCGAGAGACAGCGCAGTACTCGGGAGCGTCACACCGGGACACGGAGCCCTCAGGCCGGCGGAGCGACGCGAGGTGCGGCCGCTCTCTCTCATCCTCTGCGGGGACAGGTGAGCCCGGGGCGCAAAGGCGCCATATTGAAGTCCAGTGACGAAGGCTGACGTCAGGCTGACGTCAGCCTGACGTCAGGCGGAACCAAGAGGATCGATGATGAAGGTTGAATTCATCGTCTATGTATAGAATGCATATACAATTTGATACATAAGTACCACCCTTTTCATCTACGTAATATATCGAAATCATCAGCTTCCTGTCCCAAAGTGTTTGTTACTTCTAGACTGCAATTCTTTATTATCAGGCTGCTCTTAAAAAGTAGGATGGGAGCCAGAGCCTTCAGTTAGCTCCTCTTTTGTGGAACCAGGTTCCACTTTCAGTCCGGGGGGCAGATTCAGTCAGCTCATTTAAGATAAAACTTAAAACTTTCCTCTTTGATCCTGCCTATAGTTAGGGCTGGCTCGGGTTAGCCTGGACCAGCCCTTAGTTAAGCTGCTACAGGCTTAGACTGCCGGGGGACTTCTGAGGACACACCGAGCTCCTCTCACGACTCCATCTATAAGAATTCACATCTGATTAATGCACATCACTAATTCAGCTTCATCCCCTGAGCATTTGTTCCTTCTCGCCTCGCAGGTTTCCATGGATCATGGTTCTGTCTGGATGTTGGTACTGCTGACACCTGCTGCTTCTAACACCATTATTATTATACATATCAGTCACATTATTATTTCTGTCATCATAAACCAACAGTACAGACTTTGCTTGTTTCCTGAAGTCTTTGTGTTTTCCCTCCCAACCGGCTTCTATGGATGGTGGTTAATGGTTGAATTGCCTTGTTGTTGAAATGTGCTACACAAATACATTACATTACATTACATGTCATTTAGCGGACGCTTTTATCCAAAGCGACGTACAATAAGTGCATTCAACCATAGGCTACAAACTCAGGAGAACAAGAAACAAGAAAGTGCAATTTCCTCAAATAAGCCAATTTACAATTTGCTATAGATGAGTGACGTTACAAGTACAATTTAAGTGCTACAATTTGTTAGTCTTTAGTCGAGGTAGAGTCTGAAGAGGTGTGTCTTTAGTTTGCGGCGGAAGATGTGAAGGCTCTCTGCGGTCCTGATGTCTTCAGAGAGCGCGTTCCACCATTTCGGCGCAAGGACAGCGAAGAGTCGAGACCTAGTCGAGTGTTTTGCTCTCAGTGAGGGAGGGACGAGTAGTTTTGCAGATGCAGAGCGGAGAGTGCGGGTTGGGATGTAGGGTTTGACCATGTCCTGGATGTAAGCTGGACCCGATCCATTCACAGCATGGTACGTGAGCACCAGTGTTTTGATAAAATTAATAAAATAATAAAATAAAATTGCCTTTCCTTACATTTGATGGTGGTTCCTTCTGATGCTGGTTCCATGTGATGCTGGTTCCATGTGGTCCATGTGATGCTGGTTCCATGTGATGCTGGTTCCATGTGATGCTGGTTCCACGTGGTCCATGTGATGCTGGTTGTCCCTGCAGTCCTCCTGCCGTACACCTGCTTACTACTCGCAATATTTGAATTATCTCCGTTATAGGAATTGAATGTATTGTACATGGGTCATTCTGTACACATGACATCATTGTAGTCCGTCCATGCTGATAGAAGGATTGTCTGTCATTTTTTCATTTGTTGGGGAGTTTTTCCTGTCGATGTGAGGGTTTCAGGACGGACGATGTCTCATGTGTACAGACTGTAAAGCCCTGTGAGGCTGATTTGGGATTTTGGGCTATACAATATAAAATGAAAAGGAAATTGAATTGAATACAAACGTGTTTAAAAACCCACACATAAACACCACTTTAAAGGCTCTTAAAAGCCATCCATTTTTAGGCCTCTGCTCAGAATTTGCATGTACATTTTTTATATCTCTACAACCCTACGGTCTATTTGAATACTTTTTGTGATGTAATAGAAGAACTCCTATAAGATTTGGTCAGATGTATTTGTTACTGGTTAAGAGTAAATGAAAATGGAACAGAGCAGAAATAAAAACACTTTCAGGATGTTTACCACTTTGGAATGATGCATTGCAGCTTTGCATCCCAAGTCACAGCCCCATCTGACAATGATTAAGTGAAGCAGAAGAAAATTCTCCCTCCACCCCTCCGATTGTAATTACCTTTGCAACCAATAACTCGATTTGAGTGATTGGCATCTCGTTTGAATCGTGAGCCAATAGATTTGAGCTATACAAACCAAAATGTGATTGACAGAACCGTTAGCCAATAAAAGTCAGTCAAGTGGAAATCACCACCTGGTATACGCGGCCATTCTATCCCCCGTGGTCACAACATCACCCTGAACCGCACAGCAAGTAGATGAACGTATTTCCATGTGGGCTCACTGGGGAAAATACATCTTTCATAGCTAAACAGCTGAGGAAAGAATACTTTTGACTATTGTTTGATAAGAGATTTTTACATTACATTACATTACATTACAGGTCATTTAGCAGACGCTTTTATCCAAAGCGACTTACATTACACTTTAAACCCATGGCTTTTTCACATTTTGCCAGGGGAGCAATTAGGGGTTAGGTGTCTTGCTCTGTTTGCTCTGTTTGCTCTGTTTGCTCTGTGCAGATTTCTGTTGTTGGCGTTCTTTGGCTCTTACCTCGCAGATGCTTGACGTTAGCAGGACTCACTTTTAGGTCCGTAACCTGTGGGATGTCAGTTTTAATCGGAGATATTGTGTCTTTACAGCATAACGTGTTGTAGAGTTAAAGCCAGAAATGCGGCGAGTGGGATGACTAGTTGGCGTATAGGAAGGTTGACATCTGGTAGTTGTGTTTGGAGCACGTACAAATGTGCACGTACTTAATGAATTCATTAAGGCAGTTATTCGCTACGTCTTCTCCCAGCCAGGAGGCCTTTGGGGTTTAAGAGGTTAAAGGGCAAACTGGATGATAGGTTGAATCCATTTATTTTGTAACAAATAAAAAATGTATCTTTAAAATGATAAAACCATCGATGTACTCAGGTACAAACCATTTCAGCAGAACTACGCAGTTCCAACCAATCAGAAGGATTTGTTTAGTGGCGAGGCTCGTGTCAGGTGACATCACTTGTTCATTTTCACAACCAAAAGGCTCATGGGTACTGTAGTACTTAAAAAGGTCTCCTTCCCCTCCTCGCCAACTGCACCAACCCCCAATGAGAAAACGCCCCATTTAACGCTCACGCGTAGCCGCACTTGTGCAGCTTTAGGTTGCGCTGGTCCGAGTATCTCTTCCCGCACTTGTCACAGATGTACTGCTTGCCGCCGGCGTGCACGTGTCTCTTGTGCGTCCTCAGGTGGCTGCCCTGGCTGAAGGTCTTGCCACACGCGTCGCAGGTGTAGGGCTTCTCCCCGGTGTGCACGCGCAGGTGCAGCTTCAGGCTGTTGGCGTTGTTGAACCTCTTGTCGCAGAAGCTGCAGGCGAACGGCCGCTCGGCGGAGTGCGTGCGCCCGTGAGAGATCAGGCTGCTCTGCTGGCTGAACGTCTTGCCGCACTCGTGGCACCCGAAAGGCCGCTCGCCGGTGTGGATCCTCTGGTGGATCTTCAGGTTCACCGACTGCCGGAAGGTCTTCCCGCAGAGGTCGCAGCAGAAGGGCCGCAGGCCGCTGTGGACCCTCTGGTGGTTCTTGAGGTTGACGGCATGGCGGAAGGCTTTGGGGCACTGCTCGCACTGGAAGGGCTTCAGCCCGCTGTGGATGAGCTGGTGCGTCTTCAGGCTGACGGCGCGGGTGAAGCCTTTTCCACAAGCGCTGCACACGTAGATCTTCTCGCCGGTGTGCGTGTGCGCGTGGCGCTGCAGGTTCTGCAGCAGGTTGAAGCGCCGGCCGCACACCTCGCAGCCGTGTGGTTTCTCCCCTGTGTGCACGACGGCGTGCGTCTTTAGCTGCGTCTGCTTGGCAAAGTGCTTGCCGCACTGTGGGCACTCGTAAGGACGCTCGCCGGTGTGCGTTCTGCCGTGGCTCTGCAGACTTTGTCGCTGAGCAAACGCCCGGCCGCAGACCCCGCAGGCGAACGGCTTCTCGCCGGTGTGGACGCGGCGGTGAGATGTCAGGTTGCTCTGAGACGTGAACGATTTACCGCACGCTGCGCACGAGAAGTATTTCCACGTGACGCTCTGCAGAACAAACCCCGGCTGCTGGAGGTCAGAGGTCACCGGGTCGGTGGCTTCAACTCGAGCTCCTGGGGAAGGAAGGAAAACATTTGGCCTTAATCGGACGTGTTTGTGACTGAGAGCAGCGTCTTTTGATCAGACACCGATCAGCTGGGTATTGATCAGGTACTCACGCTCAGCGATGGCTCCCGGCTTGATGTTGCGGTGTTCGTCTTTGACCGTCACCGCCGGGACAAACGTGTTCTCGGTCACCTCGTTCTCTGGTTTGGTCTGCACAGTCATGCAAGCGAACAGACGTCAGTCAGGTCAGTGAACGCACCACTTAGCGACAGGTGAGTCTTACCTGAGTGGGCCTGTGAGCATCGGGGGTCTCGGGTCGGACTCCGTACGAGTGCTCTGCCTCTGGGACGGGCAGAGCACACACATCCTTAGTATGACATCGCCACCTGGTGGATCTGTGTGGGCGGGGCCTGTGTACGTACCGACGTGTGCGTCGTTGAGGATGTTGAGGACACTGGTCCGGGGTCTCCTGCCCCCCCAACCCGACGGAGGCTCCAGTGACAGTTTGGCTTCATCCACCACATTTATGATCTTCCCCAAAGCCTCGTTCCCTAGAGTCTCCATGACAGAGGCAAACTGCGCCTGACGGGATCAGAGGTCACACAGAGGTCAACATCAGCCCTTTAGTGGCACATGTGGCTCATGTTGGGGAGGCCGAGCGTGGGAGACTCTTTTTTTCTATTTCTGTGTTTATTAAGTTTCATTTTATTTCTCTTCCGTAACTGAGTTTGAACTACAGAAGCTGAACAGAAGCACACGTAACACACGTCATCATCCGGGGACCCAGCAGCTCCTCACCATCTTCTCCCGGCTGCGGGGCCCCTCTCCGGTCCGGCTCTCCAGGTGGAGCTGGAAGGTGGAACTGTCCTCCACCAGCTTCTTCAGCTCCGCCACCGCCGCGTGGACCAGCGACTCCATGACGGCGGCTAGCTGTGTGTGCAGACCCGCAGAGGAGCTCATCCTGTCGGCTAACAGCTGACTCTGCACCCCTGAATCGACGGAGGCTAACGGCTAATGCTAACCAGCTAGCATTAATAAGCTCAGTTGGTTGTGGGTTGTTTTAATATGTTTAACAATACATGAAAGTGCCACTTTAGAAGAAATAGGTGTGACATCAGTTAGCTAACAGCAAACCGAAGGAGGGAGCGGAAGTGTTTCTGGTTTGTCTTCCGGGTCTTCTTCTTCTTCTTGTATCTATTGTGGTAGGAGGCTCCTTTCCTTAAAGCCTACTTTATGCTTCTGCGTTTTCAGAGAGACCCTTCACATCTCCTGGCGTTTAGCGGGTTAGATCAACGGAGGGAGATCTCCGCAAACGCCGGTTTGCCGGTCGAGAGGTTCACTAAGTTGTGGAGGAAAATACGGGACAAATGTGTCCTTGATGAAAAGCAGCATTGTGGATGCACGGGGCGATAAAGTCTATGATACATAAATAAAGCAACCAACGACTTCCACACACACAGACGATCTAGAGAGTCACGTCTATTTATTTATTGGACACATTTGTCCCGTATTTTCCTCCACGACTTTGTTCCCTCGTTTGTGGAGATCTCCCTCCATGAATCAGAGGCCATCCGGCGTCCTCATAGTCCGCCAATGACGGCTCGTACAAGCGCTCATATTTAAAAGCTCTTCAATCTGATCCGTTCTCTCGTAAACGTTCTTCCTTTTAATAACGGCCGTATTGTGCTGTGAAAACGGAGATGTGAGACTCCGTAAAGGACGTAGTCAGAGACCAATCACAGCCTGCTGCTGCAGGACGCTGCGTCGCTTTAGACGCTAGTCCAGAGAAATGGGTCGACGCACGCAAGGGGGTCTGAAAAGACACGCAAGGGACACGCAAGGGACACGCAGGGGGGTCTTGCGTCTGCGTCGCTCTGAAAACGCAGAAGCATAAACTAGGCTGAAGTCTACATTTGTATTCCTAAATGTACGTCCTGTGAAGTCCAGTAGGGGTCAGCAGTGCACCACAGAAGAAGAGTTCAACACGTTCACGCAAACCTCTGAACACGCGGAGTGTCTCAGTGGTCACGTGACCAGCAGGTGAGCCACACCTGAATGGGGGGGGTTCCTTCACCTCTGTCTCAACTCGCTGCTCAGATACTTTTCTATCTCTCCTTAGACCGCAGGAAGAGTCCTTATAAGGACGTGGTGACGTTGCGAATGTGGGCGGGGCCTAGTGGCTATAAAGGCAGTAGTGGCTCCTCAGGAATTAAACTCTTAATGACTGAGACAGGATGCTGCTTCAGCCTCTGTGGACCTTTCTGCTCGGACACTTGTCCCTCTTACAGTCCCCTGTCTTCCCCGTCCTCTTCTCGCTCTCTGCCTATCTGTCCTGCTGCGCCCCCTTCTTGCTGCTGGACCTGCTGTCCTCCAGGTGGGCCCTGGTGCGCCGGTACAAGCTGCAGTCTCAGAGCTCCGTGAGCTGGGCCTCAGCATGGAGCTGCTTGGCTCTGACGCTCTACAACCACGTGGTGTTCCTCTTCCCAGTGACGGTGATGCACTGGTACCTGAGGCCCCTACACCTGCCCCAGGAGGCCCCGGCCCTTGGCCGCGTGCTGGCCCAGCTGCTGGTCTGCCTGCTGCTGTTTGACTTCCAGAGCTTCGTCTGGCACCTGCTGCACCACAGGGTCCCATGGCTCTACCGCAGCTTCCACAAGGTGCGTACCTGAACCGAGACCCACCTGTGGAGGAGATAATGATTATCATCTCAGCTGATACTATAATCAATCAAATCCAAGTTGTATGTGTCGTTTTAAACTTAAGATGTTTGGACAAAATGACACATATTTAATTTTCAGATATTAGATTTTCTTGTTAATGAAAAGAGTATTAATCATGTAAATATGTAAGACAAGTTCATATAAAATATGTATAGTATTAGTAATAATAAATCTTGTATGAAATATCGAGTAATGACATGAATCACTAATAACCTGTAATATTAATAGTATTAACAAATAATAAATATGTTACAGAGATGTAAACATGTCAGAGAGAGTTAGAAACATTTAATTATAATCTGAGCATCATGCTAATGATAAAAGAAGGAAAAACCTCCCATGAACATGAAGGACATCACAAATAAAACAAGAACAAGTTATTTAATGAGAAACCTTAGTGTGTTGTTGTCGCTCCACCCTGACGTTGCTCCTCCTCCAGGTGCACCACACCTTCTCCTCCACCTCCTCCCTCACCACCGAGCACTCCGGGGCTTGAGAGACTCTCAGTCTCGGCTTCTTTGCCGCGATGAGCCCGGTTCTCTTGGGCTGCCACCCGCTGACGGAGCTGCTCTTCTTCCTGCTCAACATCTGGCTGTCGGTGGAGGACCACTGCGGCTACGACCTGCCCTGCTCCACCCATCGCCTGGTGCCGCTGGGGCTGTACGGCGGGTCCCGCCACCACGACTTGCACCACCTCAGGTCCAACTGCAACTACGCCCCTTACTTCACCCACTGGGACCGGCTGGCCGGGACGCTGCAGACACAGCAAGACTGACCTGCTAATGGAGAACTTCATGGACTGATTGAAGATATTGTTTCAAAAGCAACCTAAAATCTGTTTGTATTAAAAGACTGAGGGCCAGTAATATTTATTCTACCTCTATAATTATTGTCCGTCAAGCTCATGAGGTTTGCGGATGACTCCACCCTCATTGGACTGATCTCTGGTGGGGACGAGTCCGCCTACAGGTGGAGTCTGACCATCTGGTGTCCTGGTGCAGTCAGAACAACCTGGAGCTCAACGCTCTAAAGACAGTGGAGATGGTTGTGGATTTCCGGAGGAACAGAGCCCCACCCTCCCCCTTCACCCTGTGTGACTCCCCCGTCACTATTGTGGACTCCTTCCGTTTCCTGGGCTCCATCATCACCCAGGACCTCAAGTGGGAGCTGAACATCAGCTCCATCACCAAGAAGGCTCAGCAGAGGTTGTTCTTCCTGAGGCAGCTGAAGAAATTCAACCTGCCAAAGACGATGATGGTCCACTTCTACACGGCCATCATGGAGTCCGTCCTCTGCTCCTCCATCACCGTCTGGTACGCTGCAGCCACAGCCAAGGACAAGGGCAGGCTGCAGCGTGTCCTCCGCTCTGCAGAGAGGCTGATCGGCTGCAATCTGCCGTCCCTGCAGGACTTGTTCGCTTCCAGGTCTCTGAAGCAGCTAAAAAGATGGTAGCCGACCCCTCTCACCCCGGACAAAACCTGTTTGTGCCCCTTCCATCTGGCAGCAGGCTGAGGTCCATCAGGACCAAGACCTCATCAACAGAGCCGGTCCCCCACTGACTGACTCTGACATCCCACCGCTCACTTGTCACTTTCTGTTCGCTGGTGCACTTTATTTTTGAACTTTTCAACATTTTTTAAAACTTTATTTTTAAACTAACACATAGTCCTATATACTAACCCATAGCATATGTTATTATATTTTATTTTATTCCTCTTGCACTATGTTGTCTTATCTGTCTTGTTGACCATTGCCTCACTGTCTGCTGTTCATTCATATATCGTTTATTTCGGTAAATGTGAATCTGTTTTACTGAAAGGACGTATTTATGGTTATAGATTTTCTATCTAAATTATCAGATTAATGTTACAACATATTGAACAACCTTAGTTTATTTAGTTATTCTGGTAATGTTTACTGATGAAGACGATTCAGAAGAAGATTTACTAACCCTTTGACAGTAGCAACTACAGCCTAATAAAATTGACTTTTTTAAAGTCGCTTACCTTCCCTGAATAAGTAATTGTTAATAACAATGATTAGATATTAAGTGCTTACAATGTAGTTAATATATTTGTTGGTTAGTGTTCGGTAGACTTAAACTCATTGTGTCTTAGTTGTAAAACGTAGGTATGTTTTACTATAAACATGTGAAATCTACTCAAACACTCCGAGTGCAAACTGTTACCTCACATTTATTGGGTAGGTTGTTTTTTATAGTGTAGAGAGACGTTGAATGTTTGTAGATGAGTATTAATGTGACTGAAGAGTATTTTTTTAAGTAGAATGTTTTGTACTGAACTGAATCACTTTAATCTGAGAATAAACTTTGTGAACTAAAGTTTCTCTTTGTTGAAATAACTTAAAATGTATTAAGATTGTTTTTCAACAATCAGAGAAGAAAAAAATTGAACGTACATTACTGCAGGAATTTATTTTATCATAATTGTTCTCAACGGTTGAAATATCCAATTTATATATTCAGTGTCAGAGGAAGTATTCAGATTCTTTACTTTAGTTGAAGTAGTAATACTATAGTATAGAAATAATAAAGACGAACGGCTGCATTAAAGAACAGTAGAAAAGACCAACAGTAGTATGAATTATGAATAATATTGATCATATTCTTGTATTATTGATCATCACTTAAAATCTTATTTTAACCCGACTCCCGAACGACCCCAAGAAAGTCTGGATTAAAAAAAACTTTTCCACCCCAACACACACTGCTTGCAGCAGCCGACAGCAAGTATCAGTAGTAGTACAGCTTAGAGTATCAGTAATAGTAGTATCAGTAGTAGTACAGCTTAGAGTATCAGTAATAGTAGTATCAGTAGTAGTAGTATCAGTAGTAGTAGTATCCGTAATAGTAGTATCTGTAGTAGTACAGCTTAGAGTATCAGTAATAGTATCAGTAGTAGTAGTATCAGTAGTAGTAGTATCAGTAATAGTAGTATCAGTAGTAGTACAGTTTAGAGTATCAGTAATAGTATCAGTAGTAGTAGTATCAGTAGTACAGATTAGAGTATCAGTAATAGTAGTATCAGTAGTAGTACAGTTTAGAGTATCAGGAGCAGTGGTATCAGTATTAATAGTATCAGTAGTAGTACAGCTTAGAGTACCAGTAATAGTAGTATCAGTAGTAGTACAGGTTGGAGTATCAGTAGTAGTGGTATCAGTAATAGTAGTATCAGTAGTAGTAGTATCAGTAGTAGTACAGCTTAAAGTATCAGTAATAGTAGTATCAGTAGTAGTATAGCTTAGAGTATCAGTAATAGTAGTATCAGTAGTAGTACAGCTTAGAGTATCAGTAATAGTAGTATCAGTAGTAGTACATCTTAGAGTATCAGTAATAGTATCAGTAGTAGTAGTATCAGTAGTAGTAGTATCAGTAGTAGTAGTATCAGTAGTAGTATAGCTTAGAGTATCAGTAATAGTAGTATCAGTAGTAGTAGTATCAGTAATAGTAGTATCAGTAGTAGTAAAGCTTAGAGTATCAGTAATAGTAGTATCAGCAGTAGTAGTATCAGTAGTAGTACAGCTTAGAGTATCAGTATTAGCAGTATCAGTAATAGTAGTATCAGTAGTAGTAGTATCAGTAGTAGTAGTATCAGTAACAGCAGTATCAGTAATAGTAGTATCAGTAGTAGTACAGATTATAGTATCAGTAATAGTAGTATCAGTAGTAGTAGTATCAGTAGTAGTATCAGTAGGAGTCGTATCAGTAATAGTAGTATCAGTAATAGTATCAGTGGTAGTAGTATCAGTAATAGTAGTATCAGTAGTAGTAGTATCAGTAGTAGTAGTATCGGTACTAGTAGTATCAGTAGTAGTAGTATCAGTCATAGTAGTATCAGTAATAGTAGTATCAGTAGTAGTAGTATCAGTAACAGCAGTATCAGTAATAGTAGTATCAGTAGTAGTACAGATTAGAGTATCAGTAATAGTAGTATCAGTAGTAGTAGTATCAGTAGTAGTATCAGTAGTAGTCGTATCAGTAATAGTAGTATCAGTAATAGTAGTATCAGTAATAGTATCAGTGGTAGTAGTATCAATAATAGTAGTATCAGTACTACTAGAATCAGTAATAGTAGTATCAGTAATAGTAGTATCAGTGGTAGTAGTATCAGTAATAGTAGTATCAGTACTAGTAGTATCAGTAATAGTAGTAATAGTAGTACCAGTAGTAGTAGTATCAGTAATAGTAGTATCAGTAATAGTAGTATCAGTAATAGTAGTATCAGTGGTAGTAGTATCAGTAATAGTAGTATCAGTACTAGTAGTATCAGTAATAGTAGTAATAGTAGTATCAGTAATAGTAGTATCAGTAATAGTAGTATCAGTACTAGTAGTATCAGTAGTAGTAGTATCAGTACTAGTAGTATCAGTAGTAGTAGTATCAGTAATAGTAGTATCAGTACTAGTAGTATCAGTAGTAGTAGTATCAGTAGTAGTAGTATCAGTAGTAGTAGAGTATCAGTAATAGTAGTATCAGTAGTAGTAGTATCAGTAGTAGTACTTATTACTAGTATCAGTAATAATAGTATCAGTGGTAGTAGTATCAGTAGTAGTAGTATCAGTACTAGTAGTATCAGTAATAGTAGTAATAGTAGTATCAGTAGTAGTAGTATCAGTAATAGTAGTATCAGTACTAGTAGTATCAGTAGCAGAGGTATCAGTAGTAGTAGCATCAGTTCCCGTAGTTTCACCCCCAGTAGAACCAGGAATAGCGGTATCAGAAGTAGCAGTAGCAGTCTTAATATCATCAGTACCAGTAGTACCCGCAGGAGTATTGGCAGTAGCACTATCAGTAGTACTAGAATGCTTCGGAGTAGTATTGAAGATAATAGCCTCAGTACTAGTGGTATTA